TCGATACCAAAAATTAAACTTGGTCTTCATAGGAACTCAAATTCATGAGAAAATTATGTTCTGATGGTGTAAAAATCACGCGACTTCATCATGTAACTTCATATGATGGCTGATTAATAAGTTTATAAACTTTGAATTTCGAGTTAAAAGTTGAGATTTTACGTTATTTTAGCATACAATCTGTAACCATTGGGGCTATGTCATGAATTCGGGATTAAGTTAAGATATTTGGTGTTACTGCTCTCAAAGGTCAAACTTGAATGGTTGTGTACGGTACGTCGAAAAGACGGTGCCGGTGAGAGTGGAAAGAGAAATGGTGGAAAAATTGATTGAAAAATTACATTAAGTACAAAAAGACATCAAAGTTTAAACTTGATCTTCATAGGAACTCAGAATGAGGAGAAACTCATGTTCAGGTGGTCTGAAAAGCAACACTATTCAATGAATAATGATGAATAAGTTTCTTAGCTTTGAATTTCGAATTTAAAGTTTTGATTTGATAAATTTTCGATAGAGTTAGAGTTATCACACGAATTAGCACGCTTCGTGTAATAAAAGAATTCCTCTGATCGAAAGTTTTTGATAAAATCCCTTTAAAAGTGTAAACTTTCTGGGAAACGCAGATTTCTAAGAAAATCCTGTTCAGGGTGGCAGTGAAAAAACAGTATTCAAAAGCCTACAGAGAGCAAATATTTTTTGATTTAATGAATTTTCACTGTTTTTCATTGTTCACTGTTTTATGATTAAATGTGTCTCAGCTTTGACTTTCAAGTTAGGAGTTGCGGCTTGATAAACTTTTAGCATACAAGCTGTAAGCATTCGGTTAATTAAAAGATTTCTCTGATTCTCTTAAGGTTTTTGATGTAATCGCTTTCAAATGTCAAACTTGGTCTTCATAGGAACTCAAATTCAAGAAAAAAGCATGTCTAGGAAGTGTAAAAACAATCCTATTCAGGCATAAGATGAATTACAGCAATCATTTCTTAATTTAATGAAGTTATGGTTTACTATTGGATGATTAATAAGTGTCTCAACTTTGAATTTAGAGTTTAGAGTTGCTGCTTGATGAAATTTGATGCCATAAGCGTTTGAGTTATTAAGCAGATTAGCACGCTTCGTGTTATTAAAAAATTTCTCTGATCGAAGGTTTTTGATGAAATGCAAATTCAAAGTGCAAACTATTTGATTTAGTTATAAAACATAATTTTATTTGATTTAGTTTTTCCAATTGACGATGTTTTAATCAGGAATTTGAGTCTTCAAATATTAAGTTGAGTTTGTTGTATGCAGAGAAAAGAAATTTACGATCAGTCATGATCGTGGGCTCCACTTGTTTTCATAATCATTATTCTTATTGGTATTACTTGATTCTCGCTCCAACTAAATTGTCTTAACCAGTATCATTATTATCATCATTATTACCATCATCATGTTAACCATCATCACCAAATGATCAGCTAAATGTTATTGAAAACCTTAACCAGTTTTGGGTTATTTGTGAGCCTCTGGATGTTTCAAAAATAATCATCTCTCTACAAATTCAACAATTTGATTGACTTAATTGACATTAAATTGTTGATGTTAAACAAGCAAATACACGAGCTTTGAATTACTTATTAACCCTGATTACAGTCGACTTATCAACTTGACATTCGACTATTGACCGAATTATGATCTTTATAAATCAATTGGATTGTTAATTGTTATCTTTCGTCGATAATTTCAAGTTTACTTGTCAACAATTTCCTTGTACAGTCAATCAATCTCTTTAATCTAAATCATTGATTTGATAACCTGATAATTGACCATACAAGGTCCACTGTCCTTGCTATTTGAGTGGCTAAATGGTTAAAATGAAAGCGAAACAAAAGGAAACCCAAAAAAATTGGGTTAATTGTATCAAAATGATCAAGTTATACAACCTGTTTGACCATTCACGTTCAATACTTTTCAATGATAAACAATTGATTTATCAATAACATTATACTTAACCTTGATCAGTCTACTTTTGCGAATCGCCCATTTGAATAAACAATTTGCTAACCAACAATTAATCAACCTGCAAAATTTTATAAACATGATTTTATCCTCTACAGCAAACCATTGTCAACACGAAATATTCAATCATTTATCTGTTGATAACAGTTTTCATCGATTCTTTGTTTTTTTACCTTTATAATTGAACCAGAAAATGAAAAGTTACCCACTAATTAAGAAATAATAATCATCATTAAATCAACCATATAACCTAATCAACTCATTAGTTTGGGCGGTTGTTTACAAATTGTGGTTTTGCATGTTTTCATAAGTTGATCAAATGCTTTATTGATGGACGTTTTGTTTATCATGAAAAGTCTAATAAATAACAATGTTAATGATAACAATATCAATAAATCAAGAAAAAGGTTGAAATGATGAAAATATATTTTCTGGCAACATTTTGTCAAACAGTTTTGTATAAATTGTGATTATGTGAAAATGTTGAATCTCATTGATTAAACCTAGAAACTTGAAGATATAAAAAAAGATGAAAAGATGCAATTGTAAGGCCTTTTCGTTGCGGGAATTTCTCACCGTTTTTCGTTGCTTGTTGAGCTCAGATTGGGACACTAACATTATCCATTCATTATCATCATTAACAGGGGGACTCTTTGATTGCCTCTGTGATGAGAACCAAAGAGATTTGTTTTTTTTGTTAACTTTGAAGGCAAAAAACAGAAGCTCAGAAAAAGTCTGTGAAACTTTGACCATTGGTTTCCTTTTTGTGTTTATTGACGATGTTGTTGGTGGACATCAATTGAATTATGTTTCTTTCAAATGAATAGATAGTTAAAAATGATGTGTTACTTTTTCATCTTCATCATCTTCATCATCTTCACCATTTTCTCACAAATTTGCTTTTCTTTCTTTACATCATCATCTTTTACGCTCTTGTTTTCACTTTTTTTTCACTTCTTGTAATGGGATGGGAAATTGTGTCTGTTGACAGTGTTCAAGTGAAAGTTGAAAGTAAAAGGTATTAATCAAAATTTTAATTAAGGTCAATCAGGTTAACAAAGTTTCAAAGTTGATTTGTTGTCATCTTGTCAACTTTAATTGCTTTAACCTGTTCAATTGTTGTCCAAACTTTCACATCAATCATAACCAGATTCACTGTCTTTACAAGTTGATAATTTATTCTTGTCAATCATTGAATCAGTTGATGAAAGAAATCATGAAAAATGTTTCAAAACCTTTCATTGGCAATCATTTAAATTGTTAATTATGATTAGTAATTTGTTGAACGTCCGTTTGGCCATTAAAGGTGAAATGTTTGGAAATGAATTTTTCCAATCTTCATTTGCAATTATTATGATCAATGTTATTGAAAGAATCCAACTTTCTATGTTCAAAGTCTAATTAACTGATTAACAGTTTGCTTGATTAATAAATTAGTTTCAGTTCTGTGAGTGTAAAAAGCAATTTAAATTATTACAAGAGTTTCCGTTTCATAACTAAAATTGCAGTTTCTCTTGGTTAACAATTTAACTTGAATCTAACTTTGGCTAATCAGTGAATCTTGAAACTTTCTTCTCAATCTGTTTTGGTTAGTTTTTTTTTCAGTTTTCACTGATTAAATCAAGACTCATCATTAAACTAATTGTCTACTTTGATCAACTCTTGAGTTACCTGAAAATAATTTACCATAATTGTGATGTTATCTTTATATTCAAAAGTTAATCATGGTTGTAATAATAGGCTGTAAGGATTGGAAAACCGGAAAACAAGTGAAAGTAGAATCATCATTATAACGATAATCATCCTCATAAACCCTCACCATCATTACAATTAAAACCATTATTTTAATCACAACCAGATTAATTACATGGTTTTATCAACTTGATTGGTTTACCCAAACAACAAATGACAGTCAAAGGCGTTTTTGCCTGTTGATGTGAAAAATGAAACGCAAAACTGTTGCTAAATTGAAAGCAACAAAAAAAGGCAAATGATTGCAACCAGATTTACTTACAGAAGCTTTGATTAAAAGACATTTTCAAATTGTTAATTTGCGTTGGAGTGTTGACGATGTTAATCATGATAATGATGATCAGGCCTCACAATCCAACGCATCTTGAAGCTTGTTTGTTTCAATCATCATCATTGCATCTAAACACCAGAATCAGGCGTGTCTTTGATGAATTACATTTTTCGCAAAAAAATGTAAATCTCTTTGTGAAATGATTTACCTTTACAATGAAAGGTTGCAAGAAGAAATGGCCATTTTTTTAATCTGCCGATTCTCACCATGAAACCAGATTAGTAAAGTTCAGTTGGTGGAATCTTTTTTCCACTAACTTCTCTAGCTTGCAATTTGTTAATCTGGTATAAGAGGTTTGATTGCCAATGATTTGGTTAATCTTTGCTCGGCCAATAACCAGGATTACAAATGAGATGCACTTTAAGAGCAAAAAGATTCCTGTTTATCATGTTGTCCCATCTTCCCTTTGTCAGTTTATGACTATTGACCTGATCCATGTTGATGCGATTCCCTGGTAATCTTCACCTTGCCCATTGCCAGGTTTACTTGGCTCAACAAATGAGTTTACTTACCGGGATTTTACTTTAAGATTTGCTCTTCTTATGAGAAATGCTTCTTGTCTTCTTGTTTGTTATCTTGTTTTGCTTTCTGCTTACCACTAACATGATGTTTTTCATACTGTGAACTATCCTTCATTTGTTACCATCACTTGTTGGTCCAAAATTTGCTGCTCCATTCCAATTGATTCACTGTTTCTTTCACCAACATCTGTACCTGTTTAACTTGCAACATTTAACTCAATTTTGAAATGCGAATTTTTAAAGTTAAAAAAAGGTTAATTATCAATTTACTTCCGTTTCATGGACATCATTTTCATCTAAAACGTTGGTTGCAAGTCAAAAAAGGTTAACCGTAATTTGCACGACACAAACTAATTTAAATCATTAATTTTTTGTTTCAAATTAAAAGATTTCTTGTGTTCATCCATAATTACAATCTTTTGTCTTGCATTTTCTTGGTAAATCCTTTTTAATGAGCAAAATAATATTCTAGATTTGTTTTATATCTTAATTGTTACAATTAAACAATTGTCATGAGTTGCAATCAAAGTTGGCCTTTTAGCTTAATAGATTGTCCTTCTTGTTGCAATGATTACAGGTTGATATCAATGTCAACTGGAAACTTGAATAATGTTATTCAAAGGCATTATTATTGTTATATGTTAATGTATTTTTTTTTGGTAGCAACAATCGTTAACATATTGGAACAATCAATTTGATTCAATGTGAAATTGAGCCAACATATTGAAACAACAACCATGACAATGATATCATGTTTTGTTCATTTTGTTAGTGTATTAATAGATGATGATAATAGATGTTGAGATACATCTTGATTTAATAGATTGTGTTTAGCCTCTGGTTAAAATTGGTAAACAACAAATTGTTTCACTTCATTACATGGTGAACATGAATGTCGCTCAACCTGTAGATTGAAAGAGATAACTCAAGATGATAGTAATTCTTGAATTAAATAACCAGGCAATCTATTTCAATCATCCTTCAGGGTTAGACAATTATGTTAAACACTCAACGACCGCCCTTCCCTTATATTCAAAAATTTGATCATCTTTTGATTTTCCATTGAATGTTCATCTTTCATCTTCTTTTGATACCCTCAAGTCTTGAGTCTCATTCTTGATCTCTGGTTATTATTAGATGAATAAAATACCAAGACTTTGTAGATGGATGAGGGAGACCACAGTGTAACTTGATTTTCAGGTTGATTCCATTATGTATTTATGTATATAAAAAGGTTAACTATTTTTTGTATCAAAAAGGTTATCCTTCAAACAGACCAGGTCATAGAGGTTGAGATGCTTTCCTTGCTCCATTAATAAAATAACAATGAAACCAGATTCTACCTGTTATCTGGAAATTTCAAATTTCGCCATTTCAACCAGACACTTTTTTCCCTGTTTTGTTTAGCTTCTGATCACTTGTTAACATTTTTACTTTGGCGCGTTCATCTTTTGCTACTTTAAATGTTTATCTTTACGTCTACAGTTAATGGTAATGTTAATGGTGAATCTTGAATCATTAACATTTCAAACTGTTGTTGACTGATGAAAATGAGTTGAAATGAAGTTTAGAAGAGTTTAATGATTATCTTTCCGTTGATGGATTTGCGATTGTTGATGATTCTGTTAGCAAAAGTAAAGAAAGGTTATTAATAAAAAAAGGTAAAATTATTATCATACTTTGAGTGTTTGTAGACGATTAAGCTATTAAAACCTTTTCTTGGTTCATCCATTCATCCACCTTCATCTTAATAAACTTGAATATTTCAATGAATCTATTCGTTTTTTTTAATATCATTATCCATTCTCCACTCTTTTCTCATCTCTTCATCGTTGCTCTTTCATCCAATTCTTCTTGTTATTATCATTATCATCGTTAAAGATGATATTATTTAATACATTTGTATACAAAATGTATAAATGTTTATATCTGCCAGGTAACCTTGCTTTTAGGCGTGTCAACGAAATATCAACTTTTACTAAAAATTAAACTATTGAGGGGAGAAGAAAAGATAAAGATGAAGAGAAGTTAAGAGATGAAGAGGGATCAAGATGAAGATGAAGAAGGTAAAAAGAGTGCAAAGTAAGAGGATATTTTTCAACAGCAAACAAGTTGCAAAAAATGGTTAGAAAGCAAGGTTATTCTTCCATTTCTTATTCTTTCTCTTCTTACCTTGGCTCTCCGCTCCTATGTACCTTTCACCTACCCGACCTTGGACTTCAGATAACAGTGGAGCAGAGAGAGAGAGAGAAGAGGATGATGATGATAGAGAAGAAAAACAGAGAAAACAGTGAAAGAGAGAAAAGGAAAGAGAAGAAAAAAAGCAGGGAAAATGATCAAATTCAAAAAGTTAAACTGAACATTACAAAACCTGTTTTCCCGCGCGCATTGTAAGACCATTTGCCCGCTTTCAGGTTGCCTTAGGTTTAAAGACTTTTTTGTTGGTTACAGTTGCCAGGTAAGAAGAGAGAGAAGGTAAGAGAAGAAACCTAAGGTTGGAAGAGAAGGAGGATGAAGAGAGTAAGATGAACAAGTAGAGAGAAGAGAGAAGAGAGTCTTTAGAAACCAATTGATTTATGAAGGTTTAAAGATGGCCGTAGTCCAGGTCAAAATCGTTGGGTTTCCTTTGTAAAAGGCTTTCACCTTCTCCAAGGGTGACTTAGCATCTCTTACCTTTTACCTGTTGATCGAAGACTCATTTCAGTCTCTTTTTTTGTCTCCTTCTTTTGCCCCATTTTTCTCTTCTCTCTCTTACCCTTATTTCATCGGTCAGAGGTCAGGTCTGGGCCTTTGATTTACGAAGGTTTTCTTAGATTTCGTCTGCTTCTTCTTCGTCTTTTGTTGATCGTCAAAAGATGCTTTCCATTTGCTTTTATTGTTGTTGTTGTTAATGATGATTAGCATCATTTTACTCTTTGAATTTTGTCGTTACTATTATTGTTGTTGTTGATTGTAGTTGAGGTTTCCGTCATTATTATTTGCAGCGTTATCTCGATGTCTTCAACCTCTTTTAAAGTAAACGTTTATTTGATTTAACGAAGCGAGTTTCCAATTTTATCTTCATCACTTATTAGTATTATTGGCTTCACCTTTATCTCTTCGCCTTTTCTTTTCAATAAATCATAAATCATTTTTCCAGTTTCAATCACAATTTAATCGAAAGAGTTTCTTCCTATTGATTGGTGCAGTAAATAAAAAGACTTGATCACCATTATCATTTTATATTTATTGAATTTTCTGCTATCACCGTTTCATTGCTCTCTTGTTTCCTAAGCTTACCAAGAAACAAGTCTGGTTTTTCAAGGTATAACTTGGCTATTAACAGCCACAAACCAGATATCTTTAACCCTCAGGCCTCATTCAAGACCCATGAGACTCGTGCCAATCTCCTTTCAATGTCTCTCTGCATGTTGATCTGTCTCTTAGATTTATCTCATCTTCATCTTTTTCCAAACAAGTCCTAAAAGTTTCAAATGATAACCATCTTCAGTCAAATGAATCTCGGACCAAATGTAAATTTTAACCTTCAGCCTCCACAGTATGTCTAAAGAAAAATAAGTGGGAAAAATAAATTAGTTGAAATGATAACAGAAAAAAACTGATTACTTTCACCTTTCCTCTCTGGTTACAAATCACAAAGACACCAACATATTATCTTGGAAAAAATGACTCATTCTAATTAACAGAGACTTTTAAACACGCACACACGTAGTTACACGTGATTTGACTCCAGACGATAATTTATTCAACAGACAATCTATTTGACTGTTGAAATTAACTTCTGCCGTTTGTTTAAAGGCTTGTAAATTAGCATCAGTTAAATTGTTTTCCTTGGTCTTTTTATAATTATGAGATTAGGAGAAGAAAAAAGTAAAATAATTTACAAAGACAATTAACAACCAACATCCAAGTCCAATGACCTCCACTAATTATCAAATTTAAATGAACACCAACTCATTTCTTATTTTTTTGACCGTTTCTTTATCCTTAGGTTCTCTGGCATTTGGATATATTTCGACGTAGTTTTCGAGAATTATCAGGACATGCTTGCATGGGCTCAGAATCTTGCATATTTTGTGCCTTGAAAGAGTTGTTTACTCAATTTCAATACAGTCAAGAATCGGCTCTTCCTCCAGATTCCCTTCGTAAAGCACTGGCTGAGACATTTTCTGACCAAAGACGTTTCCAGTTAGGCTTTATGGATGATGCAGCTGAATGCTTTGAAAATATATTACTTCGTATTCATGATCACATTGCTCACGATGAACCAGAAGATGGATGTCGGGCACCTCACTGTATATCTCATGAAAAGTTTGCCATGAATCTGGTTGAACAAGTGAGTTGTTCATCTTGTGGATACACCAGTGAACCTCATCCATTCACCCAGTTGGTCAACTATGTTTCAAGTCCTGCCTTGTGTGTGCAAGCCAAAAAACTGGCCACTTGTCCACCAGTCAACCCTCGACTCTCAACTTTTGGATCATTATTGAGATCAGGTGAAGCTTATGGAAATATCCGTGACTGTCCAAGTGGCTGTGGTTCCAAAATACAGATAAGGAAAACATTAGTTAACCAGCCAGACATTGTTTCCGTTGGTTTGGTTTGGGACTCTGAAAGGCCGTCATTAAATCAAATTACACAAATTTTCTCCATCATTGAGACACAACTTAACCTGGAAGACGTAAGTATTTCATTAACCATTCTTGAAAAAACAGTAAATCTGCAAAAAAAAGATGTTAGTAAAAGGGTTGAATTTCAGGGTAATAGCAAAAAAACATTACCTTCCTTGTCTAATGTTTCTTGAATTATATATATCAAGCAGAATGTAAATTTCCTTCATAACAAATCACCAACATAATTTAATCATATACAGTTAATTTTAAATACAATTATACAAATTACCAGTTAATTAAAATTGTGGTTAATATTTTGCATTCAACAACCTGGTAACCAGACTGTTGCTTTGCTATTTCATTGGTTGTTCAATTCAAATTTACTTGAACCGCCAATCATCATTTTACCGAAAGTGAGCGAAATTCAAAAAAGCATAAACTACTAATTATCTAAATTTTAAAATAGATTATTTTGATTAAAATGATTATTTCAAAATACACTAATTGTTTACATGAGTCACAAATGGTTCAAAAGCTTTGTATTAGTAAGTTTGGATTTAAAATGAAACAAAAGATATCAAAAAGGTTGATTTTGAACCAGAATTTAGATCTTGCCAATTCTGAATGTTTAAAGATGTCTTTCAATATCATGGATATCAATAATTATGTTAAAGATGCTTAAATATGCTACAATGTTAAAAAAAGATTCATTTGTTTCCATAATAACTATCTAAATTTTTAAGAACAGTATTCCAGCGAATCGCTCTTTCCTTTTCCTCAACCTCAGTTAGACCAGACTCGGCCTGACGATTTCCTTGGTTCATCTGAAAGTTAGAAATTATTGAATCTCGACTTAATTGTCTCATGTGCTTCAAATGTCCAGGTAAATCTTGATTATTTGGATCATCATTGATGTTAACCTCATTGTTGCCATGTTCATTGTCATTCAAGTTTTCAGTGTTTTCGTTTGATTCATTGGACACATTGGATTCTGGTTCAGAGTTTGTATTTGAATCTGGTTGGTTGTTTGCCTCCAACTGATTGTTAGATTCAGGTTGATTGTTTTCCTCATTATCAGCTGACTCAGAGTCTTGTGAATATTGATATTGAGAGCGACTTTGATAAGGTTGGTCGTTGTATTGGAAGTTATTTGGATTGTTCAATTGTTCAGGATCAACTGCAATATTTTGATATTTTGTTTCAGGAATTGGTGGATATTGAGATGATTTATATCCTGATCCATGTGAATACGATGTAATTGGAATGCGAGATTCTTGTGTAGATTCAGGTTTACTCTGTGTTTCTGTCGGTGCTTGTGGAGTTTGAGCTGTCAAAGTGTTTTCCTCCTTGTTGACTGGCTCATAATTGGAAGTTGACAGTTCAGGTGGATTAGACATTTCCTCATCAGAACTGGGAACAGGCTCTGAATTTGGTTGATTAACTTGTGAAAGTAAAGAGTTTTGTTCAATAATATTTCGTATATTGTTATACTGTCCCATGTCTGGATTATTCAAATTATCTGAAGTGTTGCTCGTCAGTCCATTTGATTGCATTGAAATTAGATTAGGATCAACATTATTCATGGAATTGCTTTGACCAGAGTAAAGACGATTCAATAAATGTCCCGATTTGAGTTCATCTGAATTAGTCGAAATTGCTTGATTGCCATTTCCATTTGAATAAAAATTTGACTGTTGCTGTAATTTATTCAAATTTGCTTGAAAATTTTGTTGCTGATTTAAACCCGAATGAATAGAAGCAGCATTTTGACCAGCCAAAGAATCACTAAGTTCAATGGGATTTAAAACAACTTTAATTTGTTGATTTTGTTGATTCGCTATCTGACCATTACTGGCAACTTCAGTACCAAAACCATTTGTCGGTGAAGAGGCAGATAAAGATGATAGAGAAGTTGGTTGTGAATATTGTTGGCTTGTCTGGTGGTTCTGGCCATTTGAATTTACTCCTTGAGGTGACAATTTAACAAAATAATGTCCAACCATATTGTCAACTGGTTTAGTGGGCGATGAATTTTGTAAATAATTCAATTCGGCTGTTGGCGTCAAATGGTCCAAACCAGATGATCTAGGTGATTGAGCTGCATACATTTGTCCATGTGATTGAATCAAAGGTGTTGATGAACCCGTTACTCCAGGAGACATTGATTGAAGCAAGAGTTGTTGAATGCCATTTGTGGTTGTTGATGAAGCTGGCGGTGATAATGATGATTGTAATGTTAATCCTTGTGAATTGGTTGATGGTGTTGCTTGATTTCCGAGTTGCTGTTGTAAACTTGCGAGTTGGGAAGCCAATTGTTGTTGTACTTGTAACTGTATATTTGGTAATTTATCCTACAGTAAGAAAATAATATTGGTTTTTAATTAGATAAGTGGACATGAATTGACTATTTATCAATTCGATTCAATGATTTTTTACCTGAAGTTGAGCTTGGATTTGTTGAGCTACTTGAGGAATCAATTGAGCCGGAAGTTTTCCTGTTAATTGTTGAGATATTTGTTGATCAAGTGTTGCTTGAAGTTGAGCCGGTCTACAATCAACAGAAATTAAGAAAAGTGAAAATTATTTTTCCAAAGATATTTTAAAATTTTAAATTTCGCTCAACCAATTACACTGATTAAAATTGTCAATCGAAAAGGTTCAAAAATTTATTCAGTTGATTGGACAATTAATGTGAACAATAATAACAAGATTTCTGTTCAATTTTTGGCATCCCTTTAATGATCTCGATATGAATGGATAACGTGTTTCACCGTTATACGATCAGCTTCACTAACCAATAGAATGAGATCAATTAAAGGATAATTGGGAAGATGATGATGAAAAATGAACGACTATTGATGAGCTTTACTTTATGCTTGGCCAATTAACTAAACCATAATAATTCATCAATTCATTTGTTTTCATTTTTCAATCAAAATCAAACGCTTACCAGAAACTGCATCAAACATTAGTCTTGGTAAATATTGAAATGAAACTTACGAGTAGAGTTGAGCTGTTGGTGCTGGAGTTGTTGCTGTTGCTGGTGTCACTGGAATGATTAAACCTTGGGTTAATTGCTGTAGATTGGTTAATTGTTGTTGTTGTTGCTGATGGTGTTGAGTTTCACCGCCAGGCTTTATAATTAATTGTATTTGTCCGTTAGGCATTTGGTTTGGTACTAATGTTAACTGAGGAATTGAAACTTGCTGCTGTTGGTTTGCTCCATTGGCAGCGGTTAAAGCACTTGCTAGTCCAAAGTTTAACTGAGGGCTTGGGTGTTGACCGTTTGGGTCGACAAAACGACCGGCAATCGCTGTCAGTATAGGTCCAACCATTTTACGAATCACTTCAGACATGACGGCTTGAACAACCATATCTAACTGGTATCTCATCAGTCGAGGTCCCAACAAGGTTAAAATGATTCTATTGATTGGATTGAAAAGTCGCCGTTGAATAGGAGTTTGAATTAAAGATGCTGGTGAAGGTAATGATGATGTCAGTGGTGATCTCATTGGAGGCGCCAACTGTGGATCTAGTGGTGCAGGATGAGGTGAAGGTGAAGGTGGAAGGTTATTAAACATTGAGCTTTTCATATCCATTAAAGGTTCACTTGGATAAGGCGAGTTTAACACTGAATTTGGTTGATAGGGTTGAAATGGAGATCCGTTGAGGGTTTCACTTGGTGAAGGTAATGATGAAGGGTGAATGAAATGGTGTGGGCTAGGTGGACCTTGATTGACCCATTGTTTGTCGTTAAAAGATAATCCATTTTCATCTATTGCTTGGTCACTGTAAAATGGTGAATTTGATTGAACCTTCATAGTCACTTGTAAAATTATGAAGACACCAATTACTGTGAATGAAAAGCAAATGATTAGAATTGAAAATAAACTCTGATAACATTGAAACTCACCTGATAACATTATTTTTGTAAGTTGACACTAAAACTGGACTTGATCATAACTTAAGGAAAGGGCAAATCAATTGTTGAACATTTGTAGACTTTTTTGGTTGATTAAAATGTGGTTAACTCATTTTTACTGGCCATTCAATGGTAATAGTCATTTTCAATAGCAGATACAATTGTCAACTTGGAAAGAGTTTACATCAATTTTGATCAATCACAATCAAAAATATTTTTCATTCTGATCTCGATTCATTTAACATCATTACCATTCATCATCATTATCGTAAGTGAATTGTCTTCTTAATCAAATCATTTTTCACCATTCAGTCTCTTTCCTCCTTATACTTTCTCATTTAAATCGCATCATCAACTTTTGTCGTGTTTATAATTAAGTCGTAATCATTTCATTTTTTTCACTCTTTCAAAACTTTCCTCTTGATTATGCAAAAATCAACATTAAACTAATAAATTAATTAGTCAATTAAAGTGTTTGAAAATTAAGTCAATGATGAAGCACCCATTTATATCTTTAGATCAATTGTTTCTTTTCAATTGGGAGAAAGTTTACAATCAAATTCACTTGCAATTGCTATAAACAGTTAACAACAAAAATATCCACTTTGATTAATTATTACTCAATAATCAATCAATCAATAGTTGATATCAAAATTGTCCCAAATGTCGATCAAATCCGATCCATAAGCAAATCAATAACATTTAGTTGAGACATTTGCCAAAAAGGTTTACGTTCCTGATGACAATTTGAAAGTCATTTTTAAAAACTTCTTGAGACCAAATGTTTAATCACTTGGTGAACTACTTTCCCAGCCTTCTATTTTCATGATATTTATGAAAATTTTGGAACATTTGATTTCTTGTTTAATCTGATTTGAGTTGAATTTAAGTCTCAAACGAGGTTTCGTAAGGATAGCTTGAGCTCCAATTTTCAAGGCAAAAGCTCGCGAAATAGGAAAATGTATTACAATTTGTTTGAAATAATTAATCATTTTTTGGGTTGAAAAATTTCTGCCATGAAAATGAAACTCAACAGTTCTATTGATACTGAGTATGTTGATATTAGATCAGACTTTTATGATGAATTGACCACAAACGATCATTAATTTGAATATTGATGAAAATGCATAATTCATAAATGTTGAATTTTTGGTAAAAAATACTCATTTATTCATATTCTGAAAATGATTTATGATTTAATAATTTACTGACATTGTTTTCTTGAAAAGATTACAATAATTGGTTGAGTGAAATATAAATTAAATTTGTGATTTTGATGATTGACTGGCGATTTAGTAAACTGAGTAAAGCACAGGTAAACTGATACCAAATAGATTAGGATGATGATGAAAAATGTGCAGATGAACTTTTTATGGTCAATGGCGAAAAAAGATTTTGATTGTTTGGCATTGAATGGAAAATTAAATAACAATGAAAAAATTGATGCTGAGGTATTGTCACACAATTCACTATTAGGGTTAACCCAAACTTAGTAGCCTTCACCTTGGTCAAAAGCAACACGATCATATCCATCGTGAATGGCGAAATGGTGTCCACCATGATGTCCAGGTTCATGTATTTTAACAGCCAAAGCACCAGCAAGACCACCGACTACTCCAGTGGCAATGTAACCACCAGCAATGGCTGCTGGAATGGCAAGTTTACCAAGGGTTGGGGCATAGATGATTGGGAAGCTTTGAACAAAGATGATTGAAGCAAAGAAGCAAGCGAAGGCAAACTGTGAACAAATGATAAAAGATTTTAATTAACAATGAAAATTATTAAACAATCGAGTTATTGTTATAAAGATTGTCTTACCAAGAAACGCATGATGATGGTTTGATTTGTTGGATGCACAAGAATTGAATTGACAGTGTAAAGGTTAACTGATTAATGAAAACAAAATTCACATTTTATGAGCTCTTCTATTGCTTTTTTATACACTTTGAGAATGGGAAGATTTAAGTAATGGATTTACCTCTAAACTTGTTGATTGACAATTTGTTTAGCAGTGTAAAGGTAACTGGGGAGGGAAAAATGATTGAGAATCACATGAAAAAGGTTAAGAGAAGGAAGATTTAAAGGTAAGGTGAAAATGAAAGTGAAGGTGTATTGGTTAGATGAAGATGGTTTAAAGGTGAAATCATGATTTAAATCAGTTAAGCTTTTTTTATGTTGAGTGTGGTGTGAGGGTGATTTTGTTTTATGCGTTTTTGGTCACATTGTGTGTTGAAAATTGTTAATTTTTTTCCCAGCGGCAATAGGTTTCGGTCGACAGGTCAACCTGTATGACCTGACAATATTTATTAATTCATCTCATCTCTTCACTTGAAAAACATTTGCTGATAGCAATGAACGAGTAGCCAAAACAAAATATTATAACATTTGATTTGATTTTTCATACAAATTAGACAATCTTAAATCATAATGAAATGCATTTCAATCTTATATTTTAATTGAATATTGCCGAGTTGATTCATTTCAAATTATCAAGCTAATTGAATGTTGTAATAAATTTGATTAAAAATTTAACCTCATCATCTAAATGGAAAACTGGTAAATTGAAACAATTAACAAATCATCATTCTCATTAATCTTATTATTAAATCAATGATTAGCCCTGATCGAAGATCTTGAAGTTCAATTGGAATAGAGTATATCATGGATAACTTGACCCAAGAATGAAAAGTTAAAAGGTGAACTGATGTGGTTACAATATTTTTGATTAATGAACCTGTTTTGATGTAAAAAGTCAAGTTATTATTATGGCTTGAGGGTGAAGAGTGTGAATAGAGGACAAAGTTGATTGGAATGGTTCAAAGGTAATATTGAATTGAGGTAATCTTGAGAGTCTTTGCTTTGTTTTGTCCGTTTGAATAAAACAATTCATTAATTTATCCATGGATCAAGTTGAACAGTCACTCAGTTTCGAGTAACCTAAACCTTGATTTTAATCATCGACATCAAATTGCTATTTAGGTTCCTCTTGAATAGTCTAAATGATACAATTGATTGTACCAATTAGTATCATAAATTGGCAAGAAATGAGCAAAATTTTTCCAATCAGTCAAGTCAACTATTTGAAGGATGAAACACTTTTGAGAGTAAATAATATTGATATAAAATCAACTCAATAATTCAATAGCAATCAACAAGTTTAATTGAGACTTGTTATTGCTCTAACATTATTTTATTGGTAATGTATATTAATAGCAGAAAGACTGTTATCAAGAAAAGCTATTGTAATAATTGCATTTGTCTTGAGGTGAAAATTTATTTATGGCGCATAACTTTGATCATTTTTTGTTTTCTTTTTCCATCCTTTCTGAACTTGCAATTATGTTGGTGACTCTTGTTAATCGATGTTCATGATGAACATCTTCTTTTTTTGCTATCAGATATCATCTGATTAAAGATTGTAAAGAATTTTAATTGTTAAAGCCTGGTAATTTAATTTCTTCCTTATTTTTGACCTTTTCTTAATTGCTGTTCAATAGGTTTTTGATGGCTTTGGGCCAATCAACAAGTCTAGATCGGCAGTTTCAGTATCAACCGGTCTTGGTGGCTGTTTACCTTTACAACAACAACAACAACTATCAGCATCATCATCAATCCTGGAACTGGTTGGACTTGTAACTTATTATGGTAAACATTATTCAACCTTTTTTTATCACACCAGCCTTTCCTGTTGGATATATTTTGATGATGCTGCTGTCCGTGAGATTGGACCTCATTGGGATCAGGTTGTTGATAAATGTATCAAAGGTCATTTCCAACCTTTACTTCTTCTTTATGCTAATCCCCATGGAAATGCCATAAATGCGGCCACAGCACCTCAATCGATAATAAGAGTTGCCAATCCTCCAGGAAATAAATCAATGGTCAATCGATCCAATGGTTATCATCCTCACCTACTTCACCGATCCAATCCAATGTCTCACAAGTTACCAAATATCATGCCATTATCTTCATCTTATTCAACGTATCTTGGCTCAGGATCAACCAATTTCCCCTCTAGACCCAATCGACCCTTGTCTTTACTTTCTTTGCCAAATCAACCCATTCGACAAAATGTACCTTCATTGACAACTGCTTCATCATCCACATCTTTACACTCTTATCAACGATCTCATGGAGGAGGCAACATTTATGGAACCATGAGGTTACCACCTAAACGTAACAACATTGCCACTAGACCAGGTTCAATGGACGATTTGCTCAATCACTATGGTTCAGCTTCTGATGATGTGCCAGACTCACCATTAACACGATCTTCCTTTTCATCAACCTGCTTTTCGGATGCTTGTGACACCGATTCCGGGTACATTTCACGAAAAACTGTTGAAAGTATATTGTCCATGCAGAAGCAGGCTAAAAACCAACAACCGGTTGATGTTGACTCTCTTTATTCATCTTATAAAGGTCAACAGCGTAATAGTGTCAGCTCGATAGATTCATATTCAACTGAGCTTAGTTTACCTAAAAGATCGTATGAAGACAAGTTTTTGCTCTCAGCAAAAGCTTGTTCCCTTCAACGAAGAGACTCGGGCAATTCATCCAATGGTTCAGGAGATCGAATGTCTGCTTCATCCATTTCATCAATCACATCTCGTGAAGATAATCCTTACCTCTTTAACCAATTTGTCCGCTCAAAAACAACTGCTAGCGGTCGCTTCCTTCAACCAGCTCCACCATCTCAATCCTCTTCCTCGTCTACATCATCAACTTCATCCTCTTCTGGTGATCACTCTCGGTTGCACAAGAAATCAGCTTCAACCATAGACCAAGGCTATGATTCATTTTCATTATCAAGTAGTGATAGTTACCCATCGATGGGTCAAACAACACCAACCAAACAGTCCAGCGGATATTTTACTGGTAACTCTCGTTTAACCCAAATTCCAGAGGATGTTCAGCTAATGGGCTTAATGGCCTCCAATGGATCTGCTTTGCAAGATTGTGATCAACTTTGTAGCCAATCTGATGTACTGATGATGAAGTCAATTGAAAAGGAGCGTGAAGGCGATCTCATTGCAGCAGCAGTTCTCAGTGATTCAGCGGCACATAAAGCAAGGTTTGCTATGGCAGCTCCATATAGCAACCCACAAATGCTTGTTTCCGCCAAAATGAAACACAGCATTTGTGTGATGAGATCAGCTAATCTTCATAAGCGAATCAAGGAGAAAGAAGCTGAAGAGAAACGTCGCGCCAAAATGGAGTCAATCGGTGAGGTTTCAGGACACAGTCGCCAAGGAAGCCGTGATTCTCTCCATAGTCGTCATAGTCGACAAAATTCAAGAGACGGTTCAGTTAAAGAGATGAAGAAGGAAAATAAAGAAAATGCGAGAAAATCTTTAATCATCAACAGCAACACTAGTAATAATAATGTCAATAGTAACAATGTTAATAATATTAACAATTCAAATTATGTTAATATCAATAGTATTAGTAATGTTAATAGCAATAATAGTGGTGGTAATTTCACTGGTAATAGGAAAACGATTCAATTGTATGCTACGTTGCCAAAGAAGAGCTGCAAGAAAAAGTTAACTATAACCAATCCGATACCAATTAACGATGAACCTAGGCAATCATCAAACAATCCTCCATCTTTACCGGAAAAATCAATTTCTGTTAATCAAATGATTAAACGATCAGATAAATCGAGTGATATAAAGAGTGATGCTGAAAGTAGCCTTTCATCTATGGGTTCAATTATGAGGATAGCACGTCCAAGACCCAAAGAAAGCCTTAAAACATTGTCTGTATATTCAATGAAAGATTCAGATTTAAGTGATAACTATTATAGTGAATGGGAAGCGGTTAAAGGAACCAGTAGAGAACCATTGAAACGAAGTTTCTCAGGATCGACAACAGGAATAGGAAATGGTATTCCATTAACTCCTCCGTCCAAATCGCTGTTGTCCTCTTCAGCATCGGTAAAATCTGTAGATACTGATATCTATAGTGAAACCAGTATTGGTGATCTCACCTCTGAATCTTCTAGCAACAAAAAGCATAAAATACGTAGGAAATTATTAATTGGAAGCTTTATGAAGCGCAAAAATCGTAGTCTTCCCGATTTACGAGAAAACATAAAACCAGACTCGGATAGAGCGTCTGAAGCTGATGCAGTGAAAAAATCTTCTGGTGATGATTCAACCATTAGCCAACCCAAAACGGTTGCCAAAGTTAGTAAAAAAGGTTTCCACCAAGGAATGGGCATTTACCAGCGTCCATGCCTATTGAAGGTTAACCCACCTTTACTGGAAACATCTAAATTGGATGTTTCCTCTTCATCATCATCCTTAAAATCACCAATAACTGCAAACAATCCAATTAAACTAACCCTTGCTCATCAGCAAAATAGAGGTGAAACCCAAGGAAATCAATTATTGTCATCCAATGTTAATCAAATTCAAAAGCATTTGATACCCCGTCCACCGACTCCACCTCGTCCTAAATGCTCAGAGGAAATGTCATCCGGAGGTTTGTCAATAAAGGCCAATACCGGAGCAAATAATGTTACAATTAAAAGCATAAATAATACAATTACCAAGCCAATATTAAAATCACCTTCGCCACTTCCTCCGCCACCGCCTGTAGATGAAGTTGACTGTTGTATGATTAAACCAGGTTCACCATCTCAGGGAATTGAACCAAATGAAGATCTTCCTCCACCACCTGAAAGCTTCCTCCAAGAATTGAGGGAAAAGCGAAATGAAATGTCAAGTGAATCTCTTTTGGCGCGTTTAACCAGCGAAAGACTGGCTTCTTCCCGAGACTCGATTGTTTCATTTAGTGAAACATCTTCAATCAGAGTTCCTCCAGAGTCAGTTCAATCTTCAGTTAACCCACCATCACAACCAAGATCTGATTACGATTGTGTAGATTCTTCTTCTTTAACCATTTCCAAGACAAAAAGTGATTCTCTTAGCTCAAATCTTATTAAACCATCTTCTATCAGATCATCGGGTTCACCTTCAGTCAAAGATTTAGCTTCCCGCTTCCAAAAATTGTCTACCTTGCCTTTAACCTCATCTACATCATTAAAACCTGGACCAACTTCAACAAACAATAACAATTGCAACAATAGCGCAATAATTAATAATAACAATACAACAAACCAGCGTAACTCTTCATCATTATCATCCACTTCATCTGTATCGTACAAAGCAAATTCAAATAGTGATAAATTTTCTTGCTCATCTTCTTTGTCATCGTCTTCCCAGTCACAGGCAGCTCAGTCAACCATTTCATCGTCAACACCGACAACCGTTAGTCCCTCACCACAGCCATCTCAAACAACGGTCTCACCAAATAATACATTAACCAGCCCATCATCACTACGACAAGGGCTTCGTGTTGTAACTTTACTGGGATCAACTATGCGAAACAATTTAGAAAGTCAATCTCAAATATCTTCCAATAACAATAATAGCCAAAAATTATCTCAATTATCAACAACAAATAATGCTAGTACAGACATTCATGGGTCTAGTCGCCCAGATAGACCTCCAGATTACCAAACCGCAATTAAACGTTTATCATTAATGAAAGATTTCAAGAGGCTTTCAACTTCCCCTTCACCGTCCACAGTCCTTCCAACTGTCAACGGTAATAACAGTTTATCCGACCATAATCTTTCAGCATCTCCAGCAACAGTCACCAATTGTTCACCAGCTTTATTAATTAACTCCAAAGTCACCCCATTGATTCGTCCAACCCCAATCAACCCCGCACCCATAACATCCGCCGGTCGGATAGCACACTCTCCAAGTCATCTTCAAGCCCCTTCACCATCTCCTTCAACTAGTTCAACAGTTATGTCAACAGTAACGGAAAGTCAATCGTTAAATTGTTCTAATCACAAGATTAATCCAATTAAAGTGGATGAAATAGCTAACCGGCGGAAGGACACGACGCCTAAAAAGAGTGTCTCCTTTTCCGATCAAGTGGTCCTCGTAGCTCCTGCTGAGGATGACGATGAAGAGTACCTGCCAAACCCACTTCTTCAAAGAGTTTTAGGAGGAGGAAAAGCTATAGCACAACCAAGCCCTGCTTAAGATTTAACAATATGCAAAATCTTTTAATCAACTTTTCTCTACGATCTAAATATTAACATTTACACGGTTAAAGTTGTAAAATTATCATTATTTTGTTATAAAAAATGATAATTGATGTGATTGTTTGTTATAAATATTTTTTTATTGTAATAGCAATAAGCATTTTTTCCGGTTAATTTGAAAATCCTATTTTACAACAAATGAAAGTCAACAACATGCTGCAGTTAAAATGAACCCAATTGTGATTCAAATTATAGTGCCTAACAAATTTTCTTTTCATCTATCATATATTTTTATTCTTGTAATATAATTGAATCATCTAACATTATTATCCTTTAATCAACCATACAATATTGTATAATTTATTTATTTAATTTTTCAAATTTGCAAACTTAACATTACACCGTTCCTTTATTTGCCCCTTCACATTGAAATAAAATACATTTTATAATAATTATCATGTCTCTTAATGTATTCTTGTGATGATTGTATTTTAAAACAATCCATTTAAACAGTTGAAAGTGAAAAGATATTCAAAAAAATTTTAAGGTAGGAACTTTGTGGGTTTTAATTCAAACTGACTCCATGTGTGAAATTGAAATTTTTTAAGATCAGTAGTTTTCGGTAAAATCAAATTCAAAAGTCAAATTGCGAGCGCCTTTCATCCAATTGGTGGACTAGATCTTTTTAGCTGACTGATTTTTCTGGTATCTGGACTTTTAATAGTCTAACGGGACAGAAACTTGTTTTAAAAAAACTATTTTTACCGATAAAACTTATTGAACTATTAGTTGATCAGAAAATTTTCAATTTATCAACAGTTTTCGTGGTTTAGAGACCTCAAAATTTTGTGGCCTAATATTTCAAAAATGGTTACATTTATCATAAACATCATTTACTTTCAAAACTTAAAATATTTCAAGTTTTCCTGCAGCTTAGTAGCAATTTAGCATACAATTGAATCATTTTCCGATTGCCAGTGAAATTACCAGCTATTGATAGTTCAGTTTGGCTGAATTCATTTGTGTGATTTAAAGATTTCTCTGGTCTGGAGTTCTCGAGGAAAATTTCCAAAATTGAAACTTGGATAGCTTTTTATACAATTATGGCAGCAGATTTTTTCTTGAAACTCATTTTACTAATGTATAATGATAGTCAACTAGAAAATGCATTTATTTTTAGGAATAACATTTTCTGTTCCCTTTAAAACAGATCAGTTCGATTTTCCGTTAAACCGATCACATTCTGTGACCATAAGAGTCAGAGAACTGAAACTTATTATTCGTGCGTAAAAATTGTTTTCACACATCATGGATCGAATACTTTTTTGATTTATCAACAGTTCTCTTGATCGAATACTTTTTTGATTTATCAACAGTTCTCTTGATTTTGGCCATTGGCCTAAAAACTTTGAGCCTCAATATTTCACCTTGAGTCTCGTCGTTGAAAGGAACAAGCTTGTCAGAGTAAAAACTTTATTTGGGTTTATAAAAACAGGTTTATTTACTAAAGATTAGACGTGATTTAAATGTTATATCTTGTTTTCATCATGATTTAATCCATAAAAAAAACTTCATTTTTGCCTCTATCTTTTCAATGTTAATATCGTAAAATATGGCAGTTAACTGTTTAATAAAAAAATCGTAATTTACAAATTTCTATTCAAATTAACGTCTCAAAATTCATGTCTACTCAAAGCCTAATGCAGACAGTCAAATTGTAATTCATAATGAAGATAAATTTCCCAAGCTTTACTTGGTAATGAAGTTGAATCATAGCCTTGAATCATGGTTGAAGCTGATTTCTTGTGCAACCGAGAGGGATCACCAGAAGATGATGATGTAGACGACTAATATAGATTTCACTGTAAATACTTGTTGAAACGTCAAAAAACTCAAGGAAAAACTGTAGCTGTTATTTAAATGGTCGTCTGGTTACTAGTAACCAGTTACTTGGTTAGAGAAAGGAGAAAGTAAGCAAGAATCAATACTGTTGTCGGTTACTTGTAACTGGTGAAAAGTAACCACAATTACTTGTTACATTAACCAGACTAGTGAGTAACCAACACGCCTCTGTTACTGCTTTACTGATTGCAAAAGAGAATCATTTTCCTTTGGAGAAACTTTCTCAGGTGTGAATTGTTTTTGTTGCTATTCAAACAAATTCAAAATAAACAACAAGTGTTTACCTTGCTTTTAATTTCTTCAACTATTAGTGTAATTGTTTCCTGACAAAATTCAACTTCATCTCATAATGAATATAAGTAAAGTTTTAATTTCCGATTCTCTGGACCAAGCTGCTGTTGATATTTTACTCAAACGTAACATTCAAGTTGATGTGAAAACCAAATTAACCCCTCAAGAGCTGATTGAAATAATTAAAGTAAGTCAATTATTGTTCCCGAATCAAACTTATAACTCGACTTGATATAACATATTGAATATATTGAGCTCCATATTGTACCGTTTTATTGTTATTATTGTAAGTAGACAGTTGTCTTGGACTGAAAATTGGCCGAGACTTTTCTAACCTTTGACATGCTAATACATTTCAATGTTGATCGGAAAATATTTGATGATAGCTTCAACTAGTGTTTTGCAAGAAGTTTTCACCAGCAATTTAAATATTGTTTGACTCTACAGGCTATTCAGCTATCATGTGCAATGTTAATCGAGTATAACTTCACAACCAGTGGGAGTCAACCTTCGCAACTAAGACTCGAGGCTCAATATTTGAGTATGAGCGTTTTGGCGACATTCATTTTTACTGTAGAAAGGTCAAGGTTAGTCAAGGTTATTCTGTTATTAGCCTCTGATCAATATTTGAAGGCCTTTTTGAAATTGAAATTTTTCTGACCATCCAGTTTCATCCATCGAAATTTGTTCAAAGTGGCTAATAGCTCAAAATCTTTACGATTTTTCCTGAAATCAAGCTGATATCATTGAATAGTGGTTACACTTGGCTATTTTTGAAATTGTAAATGTAATCAAAGATCTGTATCAGTATGTCTACCTTGATTTCCCTTCACCTCCTTCAAGATTATCAGTCACGATTGTTAACTTGATCCGATAAACATTACTTATCATTAACCATTATGAGATAATTCATCTAATATTCCGATTCTCTATCAAATAAACTAAACTAATCTGTAAAAATATCTTTTTATTATATCTAGGATTATGATGCTTTGATTGTTAGATCAGCAACCAGGGTGACAAAGGAAGTTATTGAAGCTGGTAAAAAACTGAAAGTCATCGGTCGTGCTGGAGTTGGTGTTGATAACATTGATGTTAAAACTGCTACACAAAATCGTGTGCTTGTCATCAAGTAAATAATTTTCAATCAACTCATTACTAACTGAAAAATCTAAATGAAAGATACAGTTTGCTTCATGATAAAACAAAAGATAAAGATCTTTAGATAGAGATATGTCTCTCATTAATCATGATTTTCTCGGTTGATCTTGATTTCGTTTTTTATTTCTTTATTTTCTGATAAAAATTCATTCGATTTATGATTCTGATTATTACAGTGCTCCAGATGGGAATACTACTGCCGCTGCTGAACTAACATGTATTATGATATTGTCTTTGGCTCGACCCGTGGTGGCTGCCTGTTCAAAACTAAAAACTGGTGTTTGGGATAAAGAATCATTCAAAGGAACCGAAGTTCAGGGAAAGACTTTAGCCATTGTTGGATTGGGTAGAATTGGAAGAAAAGTTGCAACCTGTATGAAAGCTTTCGGCATGCGAGTAATTGGTTATGATCCTTTCGTTACGCCTGATGATGCTCAAAAGTTTGGAGTTGAATTTATGGATTTGGAACAGATTTGGCCTCAAGCTGATTACATAACTCTTCATGTTCCTCTGATTGAATCCACTCGAGGATTAGTTAACTCAGTTACCTTGAACAAATGTAAAAAAGGAGTCAAAATCATCAATTGCTGTCGTGGTGGTACTGTTGATGAGAAAGCACTCCTGGAAGCATTAAACTCTGGACAAGCTGGTGGAGCAGGTCTTGATGTTTTTGAAGAGGAACCATGTAAATTCAATGAGCTTCTGGAACATCCTAAGGTTGTCTGTACTCCCCATCTTGGTGCAAGCACTAAAGAAGCACAAATTAAAGTTGCAGAAGAAATTAGTCTTCAATTTTTAACTTTGATGGACAGTGATTCACTGAATGTTCCTGGTGCCGTCAATGGTAAACAAATATCTCAAGGATGATGAGCATTCTTTATGAAATTGATTATCTCGATTTATGTGCAGAGCCATATAATCCAATCGTTTTTGTTCTCATTTTGATTAATCGCCTTTCTGGACTGTATTTATTATAATAATAAATACATTATATTAGCAATTTCCTCTCTGTTCATTATTCCAATATTCATTTCAAGGTTTTGATATATTGCTCTTTTTATAATCTATTTTAGTACTAACATAAAACACAAAATCATGCCCTTGTAATAATCAAAGTAAAATCATTCCATCTGATCAACTAATTTAATGAGCAATAGAGTTAAGATCTTATAATTTTCGTATTTTGGGGAAGTTATTGGCATTTATAAATTGATTACTAGAAGCAAAAATTCGACTGATAAATCGACAATGAATTAGTTTAACAGTTAGATAATCAATTGATAATTTCATAGATGATGAGTTGCTAATCAAAAGATGATAATCACCTCGACACTATCAAATAATTTTTCTTCACTGCTGATCAACCCGTTTTATTGATTTTGCTACAAATATTGTCATGGTTATAAACATCGGCAACAAAATTATTTTATTTTTGTTTATTTGTTTTGACTTCTGGTAGTTTAGTTTTTGATGGTTGAGTCTTTGATAGGTCAGTTTTTGGCATTTGAGTCTTCGATGTTTGAGTCTTCATTGGTTCAGCTTTGAGTAATTGAGTCTTTGATGGTCCAGTTTGCGGTAGTTGAGTTTTGGATAGCTGAGTCTTCATTGGTTCAGCTTTTAATAGCTGAGTCTTTGATAGTTGAGTCTTCGATGTTTGAGTTTTCATTGGTTCAGCTTTGAGTAACTGAGTCTTTGATGGTCCAGTTTTTGGTAGTTGAGTCTTTGATAGTCGAGTCTTTGATAGCTGAGTCTTCATTGGTTCAGTTTTTAATAGCTGAGTCTTCGATGTTTGAGCTTTATCTGGCTCAGCTTTGAGTAACTGAGTCTTTGATGGTCCCGTTTTTGGTAGCTGAGTCTTTGATGGTGCAGTTTTCGTTAGCTTAGTTTTTGATTCTTTATCTCTTTTTAGTTTGGTTTTTGATTTTCTGATTTGGCTTTGTGATTTACTTTTAAGATTAAGACCGATATTCGACTTGGACTTCAATAGAATACTGCTTTTTATTTTAGATTTCGGTTTGTCACTGACAATTACTGATACTAATGACAGGGAACTTGAAACCATTTGGGTCTTTACATTTTTCATTCCTTTATCTGTTGAAGCATAATATAAACCAAGATTATCTGAGTGAATCCCAGGTGGATATTCTGTTGATTTTTCAGCCAATTTTCCTGTTACTTTTTTCGATTTAGATTTTGGTTTCCTGTAACAAGATAAAAAGTAGATAGTAAATAATTATTTGGACCACATGAATACATTCAACTCATTAAAATGAAATAGCCTGACTCGGTTTATCAAGACAATTTATACTTACATGGCACAAAACATAGAAATGAAAACACTGGCGACGACCACAAATAGTGTTGCTACGGCAAATATAACAAGTAAATCATCTGATTGTTTGGGTATTTTAATGGTTTTTGTGCACCCAAAAAGCTTACACTTGTTTAATTCACAGTTTTTAGGCACTTTGATTAGACAATCACACTCTTCTTCATGTTCAATAATACCATTTCCACAATACGGTCGACTGGTATAGTTTGGGAGTGTTTTAAAACACTTACTTGATGAGTAACTTTGCCTGATATTGTCAACAACACAGGTGATATGTTCATTTTTAACGTAAGACCAATCTTTGGTAGCTAATTCATGGTAACACTCGAGGTTACATTTGTTACAAGCTGGTTTGTCTGCATTATACAGTTTAGAAAGCACGTTACCGGCCAAATATCGGATATTTGTCCCATAACTGTTTTGTTGATTATTCCAGAGGAAATAAAGGGATTCACAGGGATGATAACTATAGTTGAATGTCAACTGCCATCGATTTTGAAGATTATTGTCAATGAAAATGATTATAACAGGAAAACCAATCTTTGTCTGTAAATTTTTGGTTACACCAGTAACAATATCCAAGTCATATAAGGAACCAGGAAAGGCGCTTTGTATTAAAAAGCAATCTATTAAATAGAGAGCAATTTTAAATGTTTTCAAAAGTATATTTGCATCATCAATTTGATCAGACAATTGTGCACAAAGTGTTGATATACCAGATTGGGTTTGTATTGTTCCACCAGTAAGCTATGAAAAGATGAGGTTACAGGTTAAAATTGGAGTTGAATGTTGTCATGGATAACATAGTTTTTTTGTCATAATTAATTTACTTTCTTACTTACTGTGTTATTGTTATTGCTATAGCAAAAAACTACACCAACATGGTAATAATTATCCAATTGTTGTGAGATTCCTTTGATTTTGAAGGCAGGTTTAGATACATTTAATGAATTTAATTCAGTGGCAAAAGTAGCTGCTAAATTATCTGGAGGTCTAACGTATTGACTTGAAGCATATTGAATGTACACTATGAGAAGGTAGCAATTTATATAAAAAATCATAGCTTAATTGAATCATTAATAGTCATTTGAAAGCTTACCAATGCTTTCCAAGATAGTATATCAATTTATAATGGAATTATATTGTACTTTGAATGGCTAATATTTATACTTGCCATTTTAAATTGCGTATGATTGTTGTCAATAATGGTATATTAATTAAGTATATTGGATAGAAAATAATTTTATAGCGAACTGTTAATTTTACCATTTTGTAATTTTAACTATAAAATTAATTTTCAAAAGGCTTAGTTGTCTAATTAATTGAGGAATTAACTAAACTGCACAAATTGCCTTTTAAATCAAAATTGCTTAAAATTGGTTAAAATTCCCGCTTTGCTAATGTTTTTGTCTAGTAATCTGTTTAAGAGGCAAAGAGAGAAAGAGAAAGAAGAGTTTAGTTGTGATTTTTTGGTGAGGGAGAAAGAAGTTTTTATTATTGAATGATTAGCTTTTGTAATAAATTTTAATAGTGTCAGTTAAATTGTTCAAATTGTTTACTATCATAAATAAACTAATTGGTATTTTTACCTGTTATTGTTATTTTCTTTGTGACCAAAATGAGCTCATCAGGCTCAATGAGTATGTCTGCTGAAGAGAAGCAGGCAGCCATTGAACAATTCTGCAATTTCACTGGTAACTATCATGATTTGAATCTTCTAATTCGTTCATATATTTGTTACTATCACTGTGGTCCTCTTAATTAACCTTTCTTCTTCCATTTCAAACCCTCTATTTTGTTCTAGGTGCGACAGAGAATCGTGCAAAGGTTACTTTAGAAGCATGCAATTGGAACATCGAACTAGCCGTCAACATGCACGTTGATGGTATTGACACTGGTGAACCTGTTGATGTAATACCAACCACAGAACCTTCCTCAGAAGATACCATTGCTGGCAGTGGTAGTGGAAGAAACAATAATCTAACAAGATTGATTGATTCCGCTCTAGGAGCATCTTCTTCATCTACTTCAACCTCATCATCAAATGCCATTGGAACTAGTGGAATATCTACTCCATCAACATCGTTATTAAATGATGAGTTGAGTAGACTAATTTATATTTTCTATCACTGAAAATATTCCCATGTTCAGTGATCACTGTACCACAATCTGAGTGGTTTCAATTTGTAAAACACTCTTAACTTTACTAATTTTATTTCCTCTATCTTTATCCAGTGACTCTGTCCGTCCACCTATTCCTCCTGTGAGACAAGTTCTTGTAGAGGACGGATTCCATAACCATAGACCTCGTAATCATACACATTCTGTGTTTGATGGTTTTCGCAACTTACGTGCTGAGACTAGTATGTATTTCTTTATGACATTAATCGCTATGGATTCTTTATTTCCCACTCACACTGTTTTTATTTTTATCTGCTTTACAGGATGGCTTGAAGAAGGAGAAAGTGCAACATCTAGCACTAATCTTAACAAAAGAAGAACCTTAGAAGAACTTTTCCGTCCTCCATTGGATCTCATGTTCAGAGGACCCATGGACCAGGTACAGTTAATATATAACTTATTTAATATAGAGTATATATTAGAATTTCCAGGCTATTCTCCAAACTCTAATCTGTTTTGTATCCCAACACATAGATTTCAACACTTGAAAATCACATCCAAGTTAGAAACTAAGCCTTTGAATATTATCTTTTATCATCTTTCAACTGTTGAGACTTGCACTACAAATCTTACAGTTTACCACATTTAAAGTATTTGGATATCTGATATGAGAAAGCTATCTATCATAACTCATTTTAAATCTTTTTACGCGTATGGGCACTCAATTTAACTTTTATTGAAACAATAGAGTCATCTATTGTCTATTTATATCCAACCTTATCGCTTTCTATTTACTCAAGTATTCATCTTTTGAAAAATCGTCTTTATCTGAGAGTCAAAACCTCGTTTCTTTAAAATTAATGAAATCTTTAACTAACAAATGCATCTTTCTTACTTTAGGCTAGAGATTTCGCTTCTCAATCCAATAAATGGTTAATGGTTAATCTCCAGAACGTACAAGAATTCGCTTGTCAAGTGCTGAATAGAGATCTTTGGAGTAACACAGCAGTCAAAGAAATTATTTCAGAACACTTCGTATTTTGGCAAGTAAGAACTATTTTGTCACTTTTCCACAATCAACATTGGCTAACACTGTTCTCTCTTTGCTTCATTTCAGATTTATCACGACAGTTATGAAGGATCCAAGTACATGCAATTTTATAATGTTATGCAATTCCCGTATATAGCTATTTTGGACCCTAGAACAGGTATGTATTTGAAATAGTCAGGTATCCCTCAAAAGCTTTGCAACTCACTTTGTCCGATTTTTACAGGAGAAAAAATGAGATCTTGGTCAAATACAATTGATGCGGTCTCTTTTTGCGAGGTTATCACAGAATTTCTGATGGAACATCCCTCACCGAATGGCCCAAGTGCCCCTGTAGAACATGCTCCATTACTTTCTATTCCTAGAAAGGTTTGTCCTTATTATCTTTCATTTTGATATTTTCGTAATGCAGTAATGCTTATTTGCTTCTGTTACGTCATGACTAAAATTAACAATATACTCATCAATAATTCTCTTAGCCAAATCCATATGAAGAAACTGAAGAAATGCAGTTAAGAGCCGCTATTGCTGCTTCGTTGGAGGAAAATCGTAAACCTGATGGTTTAAATAATTGTAAAGTCGATGACTCCGATGATGACAGTGAACTCGAAACATTTGACTCCGATACCGAAACAGGATTCACCAGCAAAACTCCGAAGGAACCAAAGAACTCTTTAGTTGAAGATAAACCTGAAGAAAAACCTCCAAGTCCAGAGTCATGGGAAAAGTATTTAGTTCCTGAAAGTAGTAGTTCGGCAGACATAATTATTCGGTTCCCCGATGGTAAACGAGAACGTAAATCATTTCCTTCACAATCTCCTTTAAAAGTAAGTTGATAATTCCTATACATCTTTGATCAGCTCTTGGAATAGTTTCAGTCCATTTTCTTTAATTGACTTGGCATGATAAATGCCGATTTGATTAAAAAAATTAACCACTGAGCTCTCTGAGCTTGACAAACTTTATCACCAGTGGTTTAATAATAATGATTCATATATTCATCCTAGCCAAGTACAGGCGAATGTACTTATGTGAATGGTTGTTATCGCTAATCACTAGATGTGGTCGAAATCACCGAATCAACCACAGTGAAAAATTTATTTCTGATTTGGAAATAGTTGCTATTAGCAATGTACGAATAAAGCTAATCTCAAATTTCAAATCGATCAATCATTCATCTTATGACATCTTATTAATAATTTTTTATTTCTTTTTCTCTTTCTTAGATATTATATCTTTACGTTTCTTCTAAAGGGTATAGCATGACCGATTATGATCTGGTTATTAATTTTCCAAAGAAAAATCTGAAAGAATTCTCTGAAAACGATTCTTTATCATCAGCGGGCCTATGTCCAGGAAATACTGTATTTGTCCATATGAAATCTTAACATTAATTATCATCTAACAATTTTCACATGAAATATTTTTGAACAGTATTTATATTTCATAAAAGTCAATCCCGTTTCCGAAATTTTGGAAAATCCAACAAGAAATGAGCATCAAAAAGAGTTACAAGGCGACAAAAGAGTAAAACTGTTTTGACAGTGCAAAGGCAACTACTACCATCTTCTCAATCCTGCTATTACCATCAAATTTTCGATAATTTGAACAATTTATTTGTCTAATTATTGAACGCATTGTCATTGTTTAGCTCGTCCATTTAAAGGTTTATTTACCCATTACAGCTAAACTAATTCATTGTAACTACAATCATAAATGTATCAATCAAGTTTAAGCTTTAATTTACCAATAAATTTTCATTAAGATGCAATAAAACATCTAAATATTATAAATATCAAAGTGCAAACTTAATAATGTATTTCAAGATGCAACACGATGTACGACAAAACTATTAAGATCAGTCAATTTTTTGTCAATTACATTTCAATCATATTCTAACAAAATTAGTCAAAGCCATTTACAGATGCCTCAGATCGTACGTTTTTGTCTTTGACGTTAAGTTAATGACGATTCCAAAGAATTGGCTTAATCTTTACAATCTGGTGACCACATGATAATTGTATTATCCTTCTATTATTACAATGGTTCAAGCAAACATCTTACTCAAGCCTTCGATTTATTCATCTGTAATTCAGGCGGTTGTTGTAGTTGCTGCTGCTGCTGCTGTTGTTGTTGTTGTTGAGGATCCGGTCTGAATCGATCTATGGGCGTTGGACTTCCAAAGAATGCTAAAATTTTTCCTGAATCACGTAGAAGCAGGAATGTACCAGAAACAAGTAGAGCCAAGAAAGCAACTCCTAACACAGCTATTTTGAAACTAGGAGTAATAAAAGAAGAAGATGCACTCTGTCGAATAGAGATAAAAATTGAAAAAATGTATTTAGAAAATTAAAACATCTTTTAAAGACGCAAAATATTTCTCTGTTTCGAGCAAATTTACCTGTTTACGGGGTTTCAAGGTACAATTGAAGCGACAATGACCACAAGGACCGATACAATCACATTGCTCTTTTCCCTCTATAACACCATTACCACAATGAGGTCTGCGGGTGAACATTGGTAACACAGTGAAACAAGTGAATGGTCCAAGGTAATAGCTTTCTCGCATATTCTGATGCAAACATTCCGAGTGGTAAAACTTGACCTCTGTCCATTGCTTATCAGCCAATTCTTTAAAGCATGCATCCTTACAAAGTGTGCACACTGCGGTATCGCTATTGAACAATTTAAATATCACATTACCATATAAAAAACGGATTCTTCTAGTCTCATTTGTGGTTTGATCTATACTGGTTAAAGTAGGATTCCAGTGAAAAAAAGTTGGCCCACAAGGCGCAAAAGTATTATTTTTGGTTACATGCCATTGATTTGGAACTTTTTCATCAACGAAAATTGTTATAACAGGGAAACCAATGGTGGTACTCAAAATATTAGTTACTCGTTTGTAAATATTATAATATGTTGGAGATGGAAATGGACTTTGAATGAATATGTAATCAATTAAATAGAGTGCAATTGTATATCTGCTCAAAACTTTGTTTGCTTCCGCGATTTGTTTGGTTAAGAATGATTCTGGTGATGATTTAATTGTTGTTTTGGGGTTACTCTGGAATTGAAAAATAACTTTATTATCATCATTGATTGATTGGAAGGTATAACAATCTTGTCTTAATCGATACTTACAAATGTTTGATCTTTATGCAAAACAAAATAAACACCGATATGGAAGAAGTCATCCAATGGGCGAGTTAAATTTTTTATGGCAACCGAAGGTTTCACAATTTTCAATGAGCGAAATTCAAACTCAAATGGAGTTGGATTTTTTGGATTTAATGTGCTAGTTGGACCGGGAGTACTGGTGTTAATAGATGTAGATTGCTGACTTGTAAAACTAGGAAAAATGATTAGTAAAAAATAAAGATACATTTTAGGTAAAGTTAAATATTGTACATTAAAAACCCAAAAAAGTAACTTGATATAATCACTAATGTACAAAATATATATCACATCTTAATAATTGTTGCCAATAATGGTTCAATGGATATTAATATTGATCAAAAATTAGCTTCTCTTGATTTATGTTTTAGCCAAATCTTTGATCCATCTTAATGGAGGATTTGAAGAGATACCATTAGTTTCTTATACGATTACAGGAATTTTAAGATTTATTGATGGCTGATTGAAGTACAGTGAGTTTGCAGTTCTTGCTCGTATAATGTAATAATTGATCAATTTCATTGGAACCATCGATGAGAGTTTCAATAATCTCGAGTAAAGATCCTAGCATCCAGTATGATCCAACAACTTAATTCGTCTTCCAAAGTGTTGACTGGACATCAAGACTTTAACAAAAAGCTTCCATTGTACCTTTGTTTTCATTGTCTCAAAAGTCTTTATTCTCATTTTTAGAAACTGACCTGTCCAGCCTTAAAACTTGAAAACCTTGTTTTTGGAGACAAACAGTCTTCTCTGTCCATCTCTTCCCCTCCGTAAACATATGAAGACCAGTTTTGCCAGCCATACTGGCGACAATAACAGTGTATGGGTAAACATTGCCTTTGGGGCTTCTCGTGTTTAGGTCATTCTCAAGGTAATTAGCCCTTGTTTATCTTTAGATTAGAAAGCATTCTGTGCTAATACCAGGTGCACCTCTTTCAACACCTCCAGTAACCTTGAAAAAAAAGAAAAAGCAAGAAAGTGTGAAAAAGATGGCAAATATTATATGTAGAACAAGTCAGAATAGACAAAAAATATCGAGATTCTAACCTGTTTCTCTGCCATTTTGCTTTTTTTCTTGAGCTTGGAATGTAATTTTCAAGTAACCTACACCTTTAAATAGCCTGAAATGCAAGGGATACTTTACTAGTTTCCCGTGTATTTGCATTTACTTTGGTAAATGGTGCAAATGGCATTTACTAACCAATCTACAATTTACCTCAATTTGACGAAATTTGAGATTTTCAGTCATTTTATTTCATTAGCACCAGTATTCTTGTGTCATTCCATGACTGTTTTGGGTATTTTGATAGCGAATCATGAACAGTTAGTTATCAGATATTCATCGGAGGGTCATTCCCAGTCTTAGCTTGAGAAATTGATAATCCTAGTCTGAGCCGACTTATGATTTTGATAATGAAATTTTCCGGTTGCATCCATAACCTAAGAGATAAATGTTAAATAAAGAAATTCAGTACAAAATGAATGTAAAATGAAAAATAAGATTCCGATTGATTTTTGTATTGCTTAAGCTCGATCAATTTAGCAACAGCCCGTTCACTTTATTTCAAAATCAAATTCATTGATTATCCTTGAAATTCACTCAAGGGCATCAAAGGTTTAAAAGGATGCCATTTTTTACCTGTTTTAATTCAGCTTATTAAACTGTAACGATTAACAGAAAAACATGATTAAATTTCCGTTATTTTTCTTCTTGATCTGGTCATTTGGAGCCAACCTTGAAACAGTAGATTTGCCTGTTGTAAAGGTAGAAAAGAAAAAGAAAATTAAAAATTTGGAAATTTGAACATACATATTGGACACTTGGTTTGATTGTAGCGTAAACAATTTTACAAAATTGTTAGCTTCCTACTTGTATTTCCTCCATCAATGAATAAGTACATGTTTATTGAAACCTATCAAACTGTAAATTATAAACGAATGCACTTTTATAATTCCTATCTGTGCAGCAAGTCAAATTGAGCGAAAATTTAAACAGAAACAACTAACTAATTCACCCATCAAATCAAATCAGTTGATAATAAGCGAAAAAGTAAAAATTAAATATAGCAAACACAGAAGATAGGAAATACTCTAAAAACAGAGTCTTTCATACAAGACAGAACTATCAATGGTTGGAATCCAGGTTGAAACTCTTTGATTCTTGTTTCTAAAGAAATAATGTTATCAATTATCAGCAATCAATTCCAAGACTGCAAATATCAAGTTGTAAAATCAAAAGATGATAATCACCTCGACACTATCAAATAATTTTTCTTCGCTGCTGATCAACCCGTTTTATTGATTTTGCTACAAATATTGTCATGGTTATAAACATCGGCAACAAAATTATTTTATTTTTGTTTATTTGTTTTGACTTCTGGTAGTTTAGTTTTTGATGGTTGAGTCTTTGATAGGTCAGTTTTTGGCATTTGAGTCTTCGATGTTTGAGTCTTCATTGGTTCAGCTTTGAGTAATTGAGTCTTTGATGGTCCAGTTTTTGGTAGTTGAGTTTTGGATAGCTGAGTCTTCATTGGTTCAGCTTTTAATAGCTGAGTCTTTGATAGTTGAGTCTTCGATGTTTGAGTTTTCATTGGTTCAGCTTTGAGTAACTGAGTCTTTGATGGTCCAGTTTTTGGTAGTTGAGTCTTCGATGTTTGAGTTTTCATTGGTTCAGCTTTGAGTAACTGAGTCTTTGATGGTCCAGTTTTTGGTAGTTGAGTCTTTGATAGTCGAGTCTTTGATAGCTGAGTCTTCATTGGTTCAGTTTTTAATAGCTGAGTCTTCGATGTTTGAGCTTTATCTGGCTCAGCTTTGAGTAACTGAGTCTTTGATGGTCCCGTTTTTGGTAGCTGAGTCTTTGATGGTGCAGTTCTCGTTAGCTTAGTTTTTGATTCTTTATCTCTTTTTAGTTTGGTTTTTGATTTTTTGATTTGGCTTTGTGATTTACTTTTAAGATTAAGACCGATATTCGACTTGGACTTCAATAGAATACTGCTTTTTATTTTGGATTTCGGTTTGTCACTGACAATTACTGATACTAATGACAGGGAACTTGAAACCATTTGGGTCTTTACATTTTTCATTCCTTTATCTGTTGAAGCATAATATAAACCAAGATTACAAGCACGTTACCGGCCAAATATCGGATATTTGTCCCATAACTGTTTCGCTGATTATTCCAGAGGAAATAAAGTGATTGACAAGGATGATAATTATAGTCGAATGTCAACTGCCATCGATTTTGAAGATTATTGTCAATGAAAATGATTATAACAGGAAAACCAATCTTTGTCTGTAAATTTTTGGTTACACCAGTAACAATATCCAAGTCATATAAGGAACCAGGAAAGGCGCTTTGTATTAAAAAGCAATCTATTAAATAGAGAGCAATTTTAAATGTTTTCAAAAGTATATTTGCATCATCAATTTGATCAGACAATTGTGCACAAAGTGTTGATATACCAGATTGGGTTTGTATTGTTCCACCAGTAAGCTATGAAAAGATGAGGTTACAGGTTAAAATTGGAGTTGAATGTTGTCATGGATAACATAGTTTTTTTGTCATAATTAATTTAATTTCTTACTTACTGTGTTATTGTTATTGCTATAGCAAAAAACTACACCAACATGGTAATAATTATCCAATTTTTGTGAGATTCCTTTGATTTTGAAGGCTGGTTTAGTTACATTTAATGAATTTAATTCAGTGGCAAAAGCAGCTGCTAAATTATCTGGAGGTCTAACGTATTGACTTGAAGCATATTGAATGTACACTATGAGAAGGTAGCAATTTATATAAAAAATCATATAAAAAATCAATTAAATCTTCATTTTTTCCCTCAAAGATGTCGCAGAAAATCATCTTATCTCAAATTGTTTTCATTTGTTTAACCAAAATTATCTAAAGCCAATAATTTTTAGTTCAATTTCTACCTTTCAAGCATTTTATTTCTGACACCCTTTATTTCCAAAAATTATGTCATCACTTACCTTGAAAAATCAAGTGAAAGTAAGCTCCACGTCTTTTAACGGTTTGCTAAGATATTCAAACACTCTTTTGTTTCAATATTTTATCAATATTAGCAGTGATTCAATCAAGGATAATGAGTGAAATTTAGCGAGAAAAAGAAGATTATTGAACCAGTTAAATTAAATAAGGAGTAATGGAAGACAATAGGGTTTAATAAAGCATTGATAAACAAAGACAAAGAAAGTCGGTTAAAAAAAGAAATTCAAAAGCTAATCGGAGTGAAAAAATAAAGAAAGGGAGACAAATTTAAATAGAGGGAAAGTGAAAGAGGGGAGAAAAGATTGAAAAGAAAGATTTGAAAGAAAGAGAAATCACCTTGAGACAATCGACTTGTTTAATGTTCTAATGTGTTTAATCTTTTGTTGTCTTTATCAATTGACTACATTCAGTTCAATCCTTGGACAATTAATATCATGTCAACACCATTAAAATTAGTTGCCACTCCGTTTAATCGTTTGCTATCCTTTTTACAACCGAGTTGATCATTCTCTTTACTGGACATATTTTCAATGCTGTTTTTATCAACAATGTTTCAGTTTTTGTTTGTGAAGATTTTTCATGTGTGATTTTATAGATATTAATTATTGCTAGTTGTTTTGTATCAGAGGATGTATTGCGGTGTCAAATCAACGAAGAATCCAGTTGCAAGTTTATCAAATGGTAACTCCGATCATATGGGAACTAAAGTTTTACTCGTAATACGCGCATTGAAATGATTTGTGATTTCACCGAGACTATCATTGTCTTTTGGATATGACCAAAGATTATCAATTATTCAACTAAACTCTTAATAATGCTGAATTGTTGTGTCATCTATTAATAATAATATCTATCAATTATCATGATTGCATTGCGAGTTTGTCTCAAGTTATCTATTATTACGACCATTCTTTGGGTATCTTTTGCATCAATAACTAATAGTCTTAAGAATGAGACATCTCCATTAAAACCACAACATCCATCACCTTCGATAACTTCACCATTGAATAACCATGTAAGTATTTATTCCTCACTGTTAGTGCCTTTAGTGCAGTTAAGCTATGCCATTTTCATCTTGAATTTTTCTCTTTTTTCTCACAATACTTTTGCTAGTTTGATGACTTACCAGAACTAATTTTGCCAAACAGTAGTCCTGCTGAAATTTTCAATCTAACCGCGGAAGAAAACAAATATCATGAGACTGTTGATGATGAGTTTATGTCAGATCCGTTATCGTTTAGTGGTAAACATTATACTCGATTTGGTGGAGCTCCAGTCCACGAGAAGATCAATATTCTAACTGCTGGTAAAAAGGGTCCTCTTCTTATGGAAGATATTACCTTTTTTGAAGAAATCAATCATTTTACTCGAGAACGAATACCAGAAAGAGTTGTCCATGCCAAAGGAGCGGGGGCATTTGGCTATTTTGAAGTGACCAATCCACATGTAACTGCTTTCACTAAAGCTTCTTTCCTTTCCAAGTTTGGTAAAAGGACTAAGGTTGCTGTAAGATTTTCAACTGTTGCTGGAAGTAAAGGATCATCTGATACTGTTCGTGATCCTAGAGGATTTGCTGTTAAACTATACACTGATGAAGGAAATTTTGATCTAATGATGTTAAACTTTCCAGTCTTTTTTGTAAGAGATCCATTACGATTTCTTAATCTCATTCACAGTCAAAAGAAAGATCCACAATCAAACCTAATCAATTTCGACTATTTTTGGGATTATATTTCCCTTTTACCTGAAACTCTACATGCAACTTCGTATCTATTTACTGATCTTGGTACACCAGATGGATATCGACATATGCATGGATTTAGTTTAAACACTTTTAAATTGGTTAATCAATATGATAAAGTTGTCTTTGGAAGATGGCATGTTCTAACTAATCAAGGAATTCGTAATCTAACCAATGACGTAGCTACTAAATTGGCAGGATCTAATCCTGATTATGCCACTGAAGATTTATTCAAAGCAATTCTTGCTGGTAGTTATCCTTCCTGGAAAGTTTGTATCCAAGTTATGACTCAAAAGCAAGCTCATAAATGGAAACATAGTCCTTTTGATCCTACAAAAGTGAGTATCATTTCATTAGCATATCCGATTTCATTAAATAATTTATTGAACTGAACAGCGATAATTTGATGTTACTGTCGATGTAAGCCTTGATAGGGTTATAACAAGGATAAGTTACCCGAAAAACAGTTCAACATTAACTCTTTAATTAACTTCATATAAGCTATTGTGATCACTCAATACTGACACTTCTGAATTAATTATATTGTCCTTCGTTCCCGTGGCCAATAGTTATAATTAATTGATAATTAAATGTTATGTAATAGTAAAACTGTCAAATGATTATTTCAATGCCGGACTCTTTCAATTTGTTCAATTCCTTGATTGTGCATTGTACAATTGAAAAAAATAACTCGTTACTCTAATTAGACTCAAATCTCTAATTCACCTAAAAATAGCATTTGATTGGTATAATGTTAAACAATTGAGATAAATATTAATTACACATTGACCTTCTCTTTAGTCTACAAAACAATAAGCAATATGTTCAGTTGAATGAGATCAATTATTCCTTATTTGTCTCCTATTCATTAGATTTACATTGATAGATTGATAGATGTCTGGAGATTTTGTAAAATCAGTTGTATCTGCCGATGTTAGGTGAAAAAATTATATGTTTGATTGGCTTTAAATAGTTTGAATGAGAAATTTTGAAATTACTTTTTCTCACAATTGTCTAATTACTTCTTTTGTGCACAGTTATGGCCATTAAAACATTTCCCTCTCATCGAAGCTGGTAAATTGGTATTAACACATAACCCAAAGAATTTTTTTGCTGATATTGAACAATTAGCTTTCAATCCAGCCAATCTTGTTCCTGGAATTGAACCATCAACAGAAAAGGTTCTCCAAGGAAGATTAGTTGCTTACCAAGAAGCTCAAAGTTACAGGTAGATATAATCATTAGACGATTGATTAAAAAGGTTTCAAGTTTTAATGATTTAATTTCCCTTTTTCAATCTTATTGCAGACTTGGAACCAATTTTTTTAAAATTCCTGTTAATAAACCTTCAGTTGATTCTGTTTATCCAAATATCCGAGATGGTGGTTACTGTTATGATGATAATGGAGGCAAAGGACCCAATTACTTTCCAAATTCATTTGATTTCAAGAAGGAAGCTGAAACAGAAAAACCAAGTAAATGGAAACTACCATCTTATGTTGAAGTCAAAAGATATGATTCTACTCATGATGATAACTATTCTCAGGTATAACCATGTTTGGAAATTTTATTTTATATTAACAGCATTTTCTAATAAGGGTAAACCAACATTTTTTAATTACATTCACAGGTTACAAAATTCTGGGAAGCATTAGCACCAAAAGATCGGGATCACTTGATTTACAATTTAAGTACTCACTTGAGACATGCTAAAAAATTTATTCAAGAAAGATTCTTACATCACGTGAAAACAGCTCATCCAGAGTATGGCCATCGTTTGCAAGAAGCACTTGACTTTTTCGCGGGTAAATAAGCTAAATAAAGAAGGATGCTTAAAAGCTTAGTTCTGATTCCAACCATTATTGATCTGTGAAATTGGATTAATTTACACACTATTAAGCCTGTTAATGCATCTAAATTTCCGACCGATGTTCACCATCCATTGATTATGGGTCTAAATTGAGGATTAGTGTTGCCGCTGTTTGCATACTCTTTGACGTTTCGACTTGAAAGACTACACAATTGGATTAATCAAGAAAATCACATTGGAAAGAATTTAAAGAAAGCTTATTTTTCTTGGACTAAAAAAGCTTAAATATTAATACATTGTTAATTACCAAAAGTTTAAACAAATGCCATTTTCCAGCTATCTAAAGCCTTACGTAAATTCCTTTGTTCACCAAATTGATCGGTAATGCATCTAGAATTTCCTGATTGGTTATGGTTTCCTGTTAAAATTAATTGTGCGTTAATCTTACAAGCATCTAACCAACCATTAATTAACCGATTACATATAATTTTTAAACCTTGAAAACACCTAATGTCGATCATATGTCAGCAAAAATTGTCACAGTTTTTAAAAAAGATGTTACTTTAACAAAAAAGTGCTACTACTCTTCATGCTCATTCTTCTGCTATTTTCGCCATCATCATCCTAATCAACACATCATCAACCCAGTTATTACTTGTTTACCGACATAAATCCACAGTGTTGTAGTTAATCAATTAACACTGTAATCAACAAAACATTGTAAATTAATTGTTATTGGTTTATAACTTGTGAAATTATTTTCTCTTTCGTCTTGTTGATAACAATATATTGACGAAAAATGTTCTTGCTGCTTTAAAAATCTTCGATTCTAATATTGTCCATCCTGGCCTGACAACTCATAACATCAAGCGTATTCGCTGATAGCTCAACAAACTTGTTAACAAACAGTTTCTCTTCCCTCTTCCCTTTCTCTATTTCTCTCTTTCCCTCTCCACTTTGACCATATGTAAGCTTTCTTCCTAGCAGTGACAATGGTGCATGTGCATTTAACTTTAACATTGCCTACCTTTAGGGTCTCTTGTTTATCACCGAGTTAAGGGTCATTCTCAGGGTAATTAGACTTTGTTTATCTTCTAGATTAGCAGTTAGTATTCTGTGTGTTGATGCCAGGTGCATCTCTATCAACATCTTCCAAAGCTCTGGAGGAAAAGAAGAGAAGCAGAATAATAAGAGGAGGAAGAAAACGAGTGAGAAAAAAAGTGGAGAGTTGTGGTCGAATACGAAAGAAGAGTTCAAAAGTAAATAGTTCAGCATGATGATCACTTGGTTATCTTTTCGAGTAATGTTTTCACTGTATATTCTGTTATCTTTTACATGGCATTCATGTTTTTGTGCAACTATTAAACCAATTGTTAGCCCAAAAAATAATGAAACACGAGCTCGATTGGTAAGTTTTCATTTTCCATTTTAATCTTGATTTAATTGTTTTTATTTTTTTTTAATTAATATTCTTTATTTTGATGACAAAATTAAGTTTCAATTTTTTAATTTTTTTATTTCTTGCAGAAAATTGAACTAAAAAACTGTGGATTAAATCAAATCAAAGATATCTCATCCAGATTGAGGATAATTGGAGGCCGTGAAGCAATTAAGGGTACTTGGCCTTGGCAGGTAGCTTTAATTAACCACTATCGGGAACCATTTTGCGGTGGAACACTAATTACACCACAATTTGTCTTAACTGCAGCTCATTGTGTTCGTCGAAAGTTATATGTTCGTGCTGGTGAACATGACCTAATGACCAATGAAGGAACTGAGCAAGAAATTAAAGTTGATCATGTCTTCATACACCCATCCTTTGATAGAGAAACTGTCGATTCTGATATTGCTTTATTACATTTGAAAGCTCCATTTAAATTGGGAAAATATGTTGCCACAGCTTGCCTTCCATCTCGTAAAGATGAAATTGAAATTGACTCTTTGGGAACAATATTAGGATGGGGAAAGCAAAAAAACTCAGCCATGTTTGGTACTGATGTGCTTCATCAAGCTCGCGTTCCCATTGCCAATATAAGTGACTGTCGGAATGTTTATGAAGACTATTTCATCTCTAACAATATGCTTTGTGCTGGTTTTCGAAGTGGCAGAGTTGACTCATGTGCTGGTGACTCAGGTGGACCACTTTTATTTCAAAAAAGATCTCGTTGGGTTATTTATGGTATCACAAGTTTTGGTGAAGGATGTGGAAGAAAAGAAAAGTACGGAATTTATGCTAAAGTGCCTAATTTTGTAAAATGGATCAGACGTGTAATCCATCGACATAGCTGATAATATCATCGTCATTAGGTGACAATTTACAAAAACTATATAATTACCGGTGTTAGTAATCCTTGGATTAATTAGAGATTGGTTTTCCTGTTATAATAATTTTCATTGACAATAATCTTCAAAATCGATGGCAGTTATCATCCTAGTCAATCCCTTTATTTCCTCTGGAATAATCAACAAAACAGTTATGGGACAAATATCCGATATTTGGCCGGTAACGTGCTTTCTAAACTGTATAATGCAGACAAACCAGCTTGTAACAAATGTAACCTCGAGTGTTACCATGAATTAGCTACCAAAGATTGGTCTTACGTTAAAAATGAATATATCTCCTGTGTTGTTGACAATATCAGACAAAGTTACTCATCAAGTAAGTGTTTTAAAACACTCCCAAACTATACCAGTCGACCGTATTGTGGAAATGGTATTGTTGAACATGAAGAAGAGTGTGATTGTCTAATCAAAGTGCCTAAAAACTGTGAATTGAACAACTGTAAGCTTTTTGGGTGCACAAAAACCATTGCAAAACCCAAGGCATCAGACGATTTACATCTTATATTTGCCGCAGCAACACTATTTTTGGTCGTCGCCAGTGTTTTCATTTCTATGTTTTGTGCCTTGTAAGTATAAATTGTCTTGATAAACCGAGTCAGACTATTTTATTTTAGTGAGTTGAATGTATTCATGTGGTCCAAATAATTATTTACTATCTAATTTTTATCTTGTTTCAGGAAACCAAAATCTAAATCGAAAAAAGTAACAGGAAAATTGGCTGAAAAATCAACAGAATATCCACCTGGGATTCACTCAGATAATCTTGGTTTATATTATGCTTCATCAGATGTAGGAAAGAAAAATGTAAAGGCCCAAATGGTTTCAAGTTCCCTGTCATTAGTATCAGTAATTGTCAGTGACAAACCGAAATCTAAAATAAAAAGCAGTATTCTATTGAAGTCCAAGTCGAATATCGGTCTTAATCTTAAGAGTAAATCACAAAGCCAAATCAGAAAATCAAAAACCAAACTAAAAAGAGATAAAGAATCAAAAACTAAGCTAACAAAAACTGCAACATCGAAGACTCAGCTACCAAAAACGGGGCCATCAAAGACTCAGCTATTAAAAGCTGAACCAATGAAGACTCAAACATCAAAGACTCAGCTATCCAAAACTCAAATGCCAAAAACTGACCTATCAAAGACTCAACCATCAAAAACTAAACTACCAGAAGTCAAAACAAATAAACAAAAATAAAATAATTTTGTTGCCGATGTTTATAATCATTACAATATTTGTAGCAAAATCAATAAAACGGGTTGATCAGCAGCGAAGAAAAATTATTTGATAGTGTCGAGGTGATTATCATCTTTTGATTAGCAACTCATCATCTATGAAATTATCAATTGATTATCTAACTATTAAACCAATTTATTGTCGATTTATCAGTCGAATTTTTGCTTCTAGTAATCAATTTATAAATGCCAATAACTTCCCCAAAATACGAAAATTATAAGATCTTAACTCTATTGCTCATTAAATTAGTTGATCAGATGGAATGATTTTACTTTGATTATTACAAGGGCATGATTTTGTATTTTTTATGTTAGCACTAAAATAGATTATAAAAAAGAGCAATATATCAAAACCGTGAAATGAATATTGGAATAATGAACAGAGAGGAAATTGCTAATATAATGTATTTATTATTATAATAAATACAGTCCAGAAAGGCGATTAATCAAAATGAGAACAAAAACGATTGGATTGTATGGCTCTGCACATAAATCGAGATATTCAATTTCAGAAAGAATGCTCATCATCCTTGAGATATTTGTTTACCATTGACGGCACCAGGAACGTTCAGTGAATCACTGTCCATCAAAGTTAAAAATTGAAGACTAATTTCTTCTGCAACTTTAATTTGTGCTTCTTTAGTGCTTGCACCAAGATGGGGAGTACAAACAACCTTAGGATGTTCCAGAAGCTCATTGAATTTACATGGTTCCTCTTCAAAAACATCAAGACCTGCTCCACCAGCTTGTCCAGAGTTTAATGCTTCCAGGAGGGCTTTCTCATCAACAGTACCACCACGACAGCAATTGATGATTTTGACTCCTTTTTTACATTTGTTCAAGGTAACTGAGTTAACTAATCCTCGAGTGGATTCAATAAGAGGAACATGAAGAGTTATGTAATCAGCTTGAGGCCAAATCTGTTCCAAATCCATAAATTCAACTCCAAACTTTTGGGCAAAGAATGGAAATTTTAAGTAAAACCATTGTCGAAATATTCACGATCAAAGTTTTTGGGTTAATGTCCAAAATCAAGCGATCTATTGATAATTTGAAAAAAGTGTATGCTTGTTGATATGTACCAACAAATTTTATGGACAAAAAATCAGTTTCAGCTATCTGAAATTTGTGGTCTCAGAATGCGACACGTTTAACCCAAAATCGAACTTATCTATTTTACTTTTTATAGAAAATTTTATTTCCCAAACCAAGTTCATTTTCTAGTTGATGATCTTAGTTGAAAAATAAATAATAACTACATTTCAATTCCAATCTCAATAGTATTTTTCTTTATTTACACAGAAAGAGATATTTTTTCATAATATTTATATAATATATTTATAATCAAAAAGATGAAGCATAAAATAACTCCATGTACCATTTTTAGCCTCCTCATTATTCTGATTCTGATCCTTTTTTCATTTGAATTGAATTATTTTTTAGATTCCCTTGCCATTCTTTGTAGTTTTTTTTAATGGCAAAAAAATGATCACCTTCCTTGCTCTAATGGTTATAATAATGTACTTGAAGTTGACGAGTTGGTGATGTTATTGTTATTATTTACATTTCTTTTTAGTGAGTCAAGATATTCTTGCTGTGATTGAGCCAATACTCGGGCAATGATATCCTGTTCCTCTGTTGTGTCCCAATCAGATATTCCTGTGTTCACATAAGACAAAAAATGAATTATATAGTAACATTTTTCGAGAATATAAGTATCAAATACTAACCAAATAACTGAGGGGTGAATTGATTTACAAAAGATGCAGTTTCAACAAGACCAAAGTCTTTTGGTGCACGAGAATCGTTATTATTTAGTCCACTCGAGCTAGCTTTAGGACTTGACCGAGAAGGACTTGATGAGATCTGTTGTTGATTACTAGTCGCAGTTGCTGTTGCTGTTAATTTTGATTTTTTCTTCATTGCTCTTTTCTCGTTTTCCCGCAGCCATTCAACATATGATTCACGGGCAACTTGTTCCTCGATTGCCTCGTTTGTTGCCTCCCAATCAGTAGCTCTCAGCTTATCTTCTAACATTGCCTTTTCCAATTCATGTTCTTCTGATATTCTTAAAGCTTTGTCCACCAAATTTTTCTCTGCGATTCCAGGTTTATAAGCAGGAAGCCCAAGACCAACACCGACGGTCGGTTTGAACGGGTTGACAACCGAGTTATAGTGAATATTTTGATGGTAGCTCAGTCGAATCGGTTCATTTTCTGTTTGATGACAACCTTGAAATATGTTGATTGGAGTGGTATTGTAATGATACACTTCAATAGGTCTGTTGTACATCTCAGACAAGGCCTGAATCTCGACGTGATTACCATGGGCATGGTCTAAACTTTTACGTTGAATGTAAGCCTTGAAGTCTTCAGTGACATATTGAGAAAAGTAGTCATCATCACCAGAGATGGATCAGACTCAACATCAATAGGTTCGGATGATTGAGGAACAGGTCCAGGGTCAACTACGGAACCAGACAAATCAACTGAAGAACCAACAGAACTTGAAGAATTACCTCTGCTTCCATTAAGATTTTCCGAAGAATCACCCGAGCAGTCTCTTTTAACCCCATTTTTGATACTAGTCTTCGGACTTTTGAGGGGGGCTGTGGACGAGCAACAGACAGATTTATTATTACGGCAGCAGGAATAACCAACACCACAACCATATCTAGTCATGTCTCGTCCCCTTCTTTTAGAACCATGAGCTGGATGAGGTGAGTGGGCAACTCCTATCATAGGAGATGAATGAGATGTATGGGAACTAGCAGCATCATGAGGAGATAAATGCACACCACCATCTGTTGTGGATCTTAGAGTACCATCTGATCCAGATTCCACTTGACTTCCTGAGGATCCGGGAGAACCAGGAAACCTATCATTTGAACGGGACCATCTTGGTGGTGAAGCATGATGATGTAAACCAGGAGCTATGTGAGGATGGCCCATATTACCAGGCAAATGATCCTTTTCCAGATTTGGCTCACCATTATTTCCAGTCTTACAATCACCTCGCCTTTCCTTTTTACTAGAAAGAATAGTCATCTTGGAAGTATTCTGGAATTGAAAAAGCACACACACACTCCACCAAAGTAACAGTCAATTAAAGAAAACAGTCAAATCAATTTTTTTATTGCTTTATCACCAAAAAAAGCAATCTTTACCTTTCTCGAGGCCAAGTTAAATTAATCTAAAGGATAAATCAACAATGAATACTTCAATAGATACTAGGATAAATAAAAAATAAGATATTAGCTCATTAGTAATTTAAGGAAAATCAAAGTGGATTAAAATTTAACCCAAAAGAGGGTGAGAGCATTAAAGAATGAAAGCTTTATTACATTTGAAAACTCCATTTAAATTGGGAAAATATGTTGCCACAGCTTGCCTTCCATCACGTAAAGATGAAATTGAAATTGACTCTTTGGGAACAATATTAGGATGGGGAAAGCAAAAAAACTCAGCCATGTTTGGTACTGATGTGCTTCATCAAGCTCGCGTTCCCATTGCCAATATAAGTGACTGTCGCAATGTTTATGAAGACTATTTCATCTCTAACAATATGCTTTGTGCTGGTTTTCGAAGTGGTAGAGTTGACTCATGTGCTGGTGACTCAGGTGGACCACTTTTATTTGACAGTGTATGGAAAATTACGAACAATTCCTAAATCTAATGTTAGCTTGGCTGCACGAAACACCAAAAACTAAAGGAATGGCCAATGTTGGTAAACAGCAGCGGATTTCACTTCAAAAATTCTTGATCGTCATGTTCCAGATAGAGGAGGAAGACCACAAGAGCAAGTATGTTTCATTGAATTTTCATTGGAAAAATATTAATGTTTCTTTTATTTTTTACACTAGCCACCTGTACCTTAAGAAACATTTCAACAACAGCAAAATCAGAGACAACAACCTCGCGGTGGAGGAAGAGGTGTTTTTGTATTTAACCATATTTTTTCTTTCAATTTTTCTCACCACACTCTAGTGATAAAAGTTACCACTCTTCAAATCAGCCTAGAGGCCAATATCAAGATAATTACCAACAGTCTGGTTACCGACAACCCCACCATTATCAAAGCCATGACAGTCATCGTGGAGGTCACAGAGGTGGAGGAAGAGGTGGTTCTGGAGGTGGAGGAAGAGTTCAAGGAGCAGGATAGAACCAAGTTTATCAAAGATGCTGAGATTCCCGTCCATTTAAGATGAAAGGATAAGATTGTTAAATCAAATGAATCATCTTTGAGCCAGCCATTTTCAAGAATTGATTAAAAGCTCTCATTTCCAAGAAACGGACGCAATGATTCAATTCAATACAAAAAACGGATTGAAATCAGAATAATGAGGATGCTGAAAATGTACCATGAAATTGTTTAAGCTTGTCTTTTTTATTCTAAATATTACAATATGTAAATATTGAAAATATATACATTTTTGTCTAAATAAATAAAATATTGAGATCGGAATGGTCAATATTGTTAATATTCATTTCAAATCAAGCATAATTTCGTTATTTAATTAAAATTCAAAATATCTAACAAAGAGTTGATCAGTTAATCTTCCAATTTACAAGACATGCAACGGTTAAAGCAATTATTGCTTTGATCAACCCTCCAAATCCAATAGCTATGGTTAATATTAATGCTAATTCTGATCGTCTAATTAGCCATTTATTTTTTCTACGAAAAAATGAACTAAAGTAGACTCTATTCAGTGCTATTCATAACGATCACTACAAAATCAGTTTATGAATGTTAGTGACTTCGTAATCAATAAAACGTCTCTCCCAGCATTAATCATATTATATTAATCCTTTTGATTTGTTCAAATCTAGATAAACTTTTCTGTTGCAAATTGATATTTAAACCAAGACAATTGATTCTCAGTTCATTTAATGCTTAGTCTTCCTTTGATACTGTAAATATCCATTTTGTACAGTTTTATATCCCTTTCCAGCATTAAAAATATAAAATCATGATAAATTAGTAACTTTCACCGTTATTAAATCATTAAATTTTCCCATTCTAAATTTATAAATTGTCAAACTGCATTTTTTGTTTCGTTAACACCATCAATATAAATCCTCCAAAAACACAATGGTTCAATACAAAGATGAAGTGTCTCCAAATAGAGATGAAAATTTAAAGAAACCGATGATTGCTTACAGATATTTTATAATGGCTATCATTTTTATTGCCACAGTTGTCGTATTTTCCGTTCGTAATGTTATTAATGTAGCCATAATCGCCATGGTTGATAAATCTAGTGCAAATCACTCCACATCAGCGGTAAGTTAGCTAAATCAAAATTTAAAAATTGATAGATTGAGGACTGAGTGGAACATTGCTCAAGATGAAACTCAATTAAATGAACTATTAAATGCTGCACAATTTGGTAACTTTCCTTTCTTAATTTCTTTAAGCGTTTTGATTGGAACCAACATGACCAAGGAATCGTTTTAGGCTCTTACTACTATACATATGCACCGATCCAGATAGTTGCTGGTGCTTTAACCGATAAATTTGATCCTGTTCATTTAATGATTGGTGCTCAAGTAATATCAACCATTTGTAGTTTCATTACTCCTTATTCAGCTAGCATGGGTGTCTTTTATATTGCTGGAGTTCGTATGCTTATGGGTTTAGTCCATGGAGTTACATTGCCCACTATGTATGTACTGATTGAGAAATGGTTCCTACCGAGCGAGATTGGCTTGGCTCAGGGTTTAATGGCTTCTGGATGTGACTTTGGCAATGCAATGGTAACCGTCTTTGCAGCTTGGATTAGTTCAAAGAGCTTATGGGGCGGTTGGCCGGCTGGCTTTTTCATTATGGGAATCATTAATGTCATTTTCTTGATTGTATGGACAGTTATGGTCAGCTCAAGCCCGCAATCCAATAGATTTGTTTCCAATTACGAAAAAAATTTACTTAAAATAAATATGCACTCCACGGATAAAACCCAAAAAAAGGTAAATAGCTTAAATGTTGGTGCAAATGTCTCGCGAAATCAAATTGATTGCATCTATGAGACACTTTGAAACATTGAGTAAATTTAGATTATGTTGAAACGGTATCTCTAGATGATTAAGAGAGGATGATTCCCCAGTAATCCATACATGTGACATTGAGTTATTTAATTATTAATGTGATTACATTTTCCCATGATTTCTTAGAAAGCAACACCTTGGATAAAACTTCTTACCTCAATACCACTTTGGTCTATTATCATAACCAAAGGGCTCATTGGATTAGCTTATTCGGTAATCCAGACTAAAGTTCCCGTTTATTTAGCCTCGGTTCTTGGCTATGATATTCAGAATAATGGACTCATTAATTCACTTTTTTATATTGCTGTTGCCTTGTCTCAACTCGTCTGTGGTCCATTGTCAAATTATATCATCACCAAAGGCTGGCTAAGCAAAATAATTACCAGAAAACTCTTCGAATCTATTGGTTAGTTTTGATAAATAAATGAAAGTTTTACAAATATTGTATTAACTTTACGATTATTAACTTAATTTATTTCTTTTTGTAGCTCTCGCTGGAATCATTTCTAGTTTGGTGACAGTTTGTTACTCAGATGATAATTCACATTTAATCATTGCCTGCTTAATTTTGGCCATGTTTTCCTATGGTTTCAATCTTGGTGGTGATGTACCAATCATACCTGAGATGGCTCCAGCTCTAGTTGGAACGGCTTTTGGTATATCAAATGCACTAGCTTGTGCTTCTGGTTTCATTGCTCCAGCTTTGGTCGGTGCCATTCTTGGAGATAATGTTAGTAAATTGTTGAGACAACTTTTTAAAATGAAATTTTAACACTTTGTATGATATTTTATATTATTTCAGGCTGGTTCACAGAGTAAATGGATTCTAGCATTCCAAATCGTCGCTGCTCTCCAGTTAATAGCACTTTTGTTATTTGGACTTTTTGCCACTACAGAACCCCAATCTTGGGCTAAATTTGACGACGAAGAAACAGATCCACAGTCAGTTGAAACAGTTGATGGAGATGTTAAACACTGACAAGACACTTTTTTGTTTTATCAAGATCATATTTTAACAATAAATTTTAACAATTCATTAAATGAACGATCATTAAATACAATATGTATTGAACTTTCAATAATCTGTTTATAAAATTGTTTCGCGATTTTGCATTACATTGATTCGTCTAAAAGCTAATGTGCATTATTTAATAACAATGATCTTAAACGCCGATATGCTCTGGCAATTCCTCAAAACATCACAATCAAGTTGCTCTAATTTGACTTTAAAATGTAAATGTATGAACAGAAATTGGATCAATTTCATTAAATGTTTAAGTAATATTTGAATTGTATCTTCTTAATGGTTATGCTACATTACATTTCAATTCATTATATACATTTATTATGAGACTGGAGAAGATAAAACTGAAAATCAGATGAAAATTGGCCTTGATTTGTATTGACTTAACGCTTACTGATTGATCAATTGAGCTGCTCTTAAATTCATTAGAAAGAACGAAGTGCAAGTCTTGTTCAATCGAATGATTAACTACGATTAATGCTTTAATTAATGTAATGTAATGCAATATTAGGATGAATTATCTTAATCCAGATTCATTGTAAATTCGACTTTTTAATCAACATAGAATCTAAGATCGGCTCTGATCATCAGATATAAATGCTATTGATAAATGTATACAGAGAATGATAAAACGATATTGAGATGAGTAAACGAGATTCACCGTTTATTAATCCATATCCATAATCCATATTCATCACCTTCAATAACCTTAATTCTTGTTAGTGGTTACACCTTGAGCTGTAATTTTAACCAAAAAGTTTAGCTGATTAGTTCATGTGGTAAGAAAAACTAAAATATGATATAATATAATAATAAAAGCGAAAAGGATTATTGTCAAATTGATTATTGCGTTGACTTTCGAGTTTAGAGTTGAAGCTTTGTGGGTTTGTCGAGGCATAAAATCAAAGAGCAACTTTTTCTCAAGAATAGCGAAGTATAACCATAACCATTAGTGTACCAATATGAATGAGAAGATTGTGTAAAGTTTACTAACTTTAGAGAAAGAGTTAGAGAAGAAAGGAAAGACAAAAGTAATAACCAAGTTATTGTCAAAAACTTTGACTTTCGAGTTAAGAATTGAAACATTTTGGGTTTTAAGGGGCATAAAAAGTCCATTAGTGGTTTTGAAAAGTTTCTCCGAGCAACAGTTTTCGAGAAAATCGAATTCAAAGTTGAAACTTCGATCGCCTTTTCTCCAGCTATGGACACAGATTTTTTCATGAAACTCGGTTCACTTGTGTAAATTTTGATCATCAACTAGAAAATACACTTGGTTTGAGAAATAAAATTTTCTATAAAAAGTAAAATAGATAAGTTCGATTTTGGGTTAAACGTGTCGCATTCTGAGACCACAAATTTTAGATACCTGAAACTGATTTTTTGTCGATAAAATTTGTTGGTACATATCAACAAGCATACACTTTTTTCAAATTATCAATAGATCGCTTGATTTTGGCCATTAACCCAAAAAATTTGATCGTAAATATTTCGAGAATGGTAGCACCTACAGTGGTGATTCTCTGATCAGACATTAGATTTTATTATGGGCTTTAACATGATGTGACTGAATACCAACGGAATCTAAGTTAATCCATTTAATAATGAATAGTTTTCTAACGCATCATATGTAACCAGTTTTTTTTGTTAACCAAGTGCAAAATCTGGTAACATAGGTAGAACAAGCTACAGCTTTTCTTGTACCCTCTCGAATGATCTGAAATTGCAAAATCTCATAGCCCATAATGCAATCTAATGTTTGGGCAAAGAATGGAAATTTTAAATAAAACCATTCTCGAAATATTTACGATCAAAGTTTTTGGGTAAATGGCCAAAATCAAGCGATCTATTGATAATTTGAAAAAAGTGTATGCTTGTTGATATGTACCAACAAATTTTATCGACAAAAAATCAGTTTCAGGTATCTAAAATTTGTGGTCTCAGAATGCGACACGTTTAACCCAAAATCGAACTTATCTATTTTACTTTTTATAGAAAATTTTATTTCTCAAACCAAGTGTATTTTCTAGTTGATGATCAAAATTTACACAAGTGAACCGAGTTTCATGAAAAAATCTGTGTCCATAGCTGGAGAAAAGGCGATCGAAGTTTCAACTTTGAATTCGATTTTCTCGAAAACTGTTGCTCGGAGAAACTTTTCAAAACCACTAATGGACTTTTTATGCCCCTAAAAACCCAAAATGTTTCAATTCTTAACTCAAAAGTCAAAGTTCTTGGCAATAACTTGGTTATTCCTTTTGTCTTTCCTTTCTTCTCTAACTCTTTCTCTAAAGTTAGTAAACTTTACACAATCTTCTCATTCATATTGGTACACTAATGGTTATGGTTATACTTCGCTATTCTTGAGAAAAAGTTGCTCTTTGATTTTATGCCCGACAAACCCACAAAGCTTCAACTCTAAACTCGAAAGTCAACGCAATAATCAATTTGACAATAATCCTTTTCGCTTTTATTATTATATTATATCAGATTTTAGTTTTTATTACCACATGAACTAATCAGCTAAACTTTTTGGTTAAAATTACAGCTCAAGGTGTAACCACTAACAAGAATTAAGGTTATTGAAGGTGATGAATATGGATTAATAAACGATGATTATGGTTATACATATTGTATACTGTCTATTCTTAATACTTTACAGAAAGATTGAAAAATTAAGATATTCAAAAACAGAACAAAAGTACAGACTCGTTTAGGAGTCTCATTAGTTATTTGAAATTTGATTCAACATGTAACTGAATAGAAGAAAGTCCATTCTCAAATTTATTACAAGAAAAATCTAAGGCGAAACATTCTACAAATGGGTTTCTCTTGTAATCTTTAGTTTAACTGGTCTTCACGAAATTGTAATTATTATCAAAAATTTCGATAATTATATTTTTCCAAAAGTTTGCTTGTCTACAAAAAATACATGGATTGTTCAGTCCTAGAATGATATCAGTGATAATTATCAAAATATCTACATTAAACTAAAACCGAAGTGAAATATTGTACAGAAGATAAAATTTATCTCGCAAAATAAGTGAATATTCTGGTAGGATCAGAGAAATGGATTTTATCAATAAATCTGTTAATACAGTCATAACTGTTCAAATGGAAAGAAGTTTGAATTTTGAGGTGCAAAATTTGCTGTCTAAAATTGTCAATCAGAGATTTTAATTGTACAAATAAACTTTATTTTAATCGCCCACAAACCTAAAACTCTGAACTCTACAGTGATTGTAACAGTCTCTGTAATTCAATATTCACATTAAAGTTTTCTAAAGCACTCCTTTTGCGCTATTTGATACTTTTACATGATCAAATATTTCTTTAGCAATTTTAAATTGTGATAAGAAATATCACCGATTTATGCCCGATTAAGAAATAAATAATAACTACATTTTCAATTCCAATCTCAATAGTATTTTTCTTTATTTACACAGAAAGAGATATTTTTTCATAATATTTATATAATATATTTATAATCAAAAAGATGAAGCATAAAATAACTCCATGTACCATTTTTAGCCTCCTCATTATTCTGATTCTGATCCTTTTTTCATTTGAATTGAATTATTTTTTAGATTCCCTTGCCATTCTTTGTAGTTTTTTTTAATGGCAAAAAAATGATCACCTTCCTTGCTCTAATGGTTATAATAATGTATTAATTATAAAAAAAGGTCTTCTCGTCGAGTTTTTTACGGCAAAATGAATGAAATAGATTTGGAAATGAGAACTTTTAATTAATGCTTGAAGATGGTTGATCCAAAGATGAGGAACTATTATCATTTTTACTAGTATTTGCCACAATTTTGGGACCACTGGTAGTACCACTGCTACTTGCAGTAACACTTGTACTTGAAGTTGACGAGTTGGTGATGTTATTGTTATTATTTACATTTCTTTTTAGTGAGTCAAGATATTCTTGCTGTGATTGAGCCAATACTCGGGCAATGATATCCTGTTCCTCTGTTGTGTCCCAATCAGATATTCCTGTGTTCACATAAGACAAAAAATGAATTATATAGTAACATTTTTCGAGAATATAAGTATCAAATACTAACCAAATAACTGAGGGGTGAATTGATTTACAAAAGATGCAGTTTCAACAAGACCAAAGTCTTTTGGTGCACGAGAATCGTTATTATTTAGTCCACTCGAGCTAGCTTTAGGACTTGACCGAGAAGGACTTGATGAGATCTGTTGTTGATTACTAGTCGCAGTTGCTGTTGCTGTTAATTTTGATTTTTTCTTCATTGCTCTTTTCTCGTTTTCCCGCAGCCATTCAACATATGATTCACGGGCAACTTGTTCCTCGATTGCCTCGTTTGTTGCCTCCCAATCAGTAGCTCTCAGCTTATCTTCTAACATTGCCTTTTCCAATTCATGTTCTTCTGATATTCTTAAAGCTTTGTCCACCAAATTTTTCTCTGCGATTCCAGGTTTATAAGCAGGAAGCCCAAGACCAACACCGACGGTCGGTTTGAACGGGTTGACAACCGAGTTATAGTGAATATTTTGATGGTAGCTCAGTCGAATCGGTTCATTTTCTGTTTGATGACAACCTTGAAATATGTTGATTGGAGTGGTATTGTAATGATACACTTCAATAGGTCTGTTGTACATCTCAGACAAGGCCTGAATCTCGACGTGATTACCATGGGCATGGTCTAAACTTTTACGTTGAATGTAAGCCTTGAAGTCTTCAGTGACATATTGAGAAAAGTAGTCTGCATTTTTGGCCATGTAGTCCATACATAATTTTCTTACAGCGGTGTGCATATCTTGATCACCATAAACTTGATCAGCGACTGCTCGGAACAAACAGGCACCATCTTCCCCCATCTTCTTAATGATAAAACCTTTTTTCCTCATCTTTTTCTCGAATCGTCGTTCCATCTCTTCTAGCTGTTCTGCTGTCCAATTGGCTGCTTTGTCATATTCATCACCAGAGTTGTAGCCTTGAACAGATGGATCAGACTCAACATCAATAGGTTCGGATGATTGAGGAACAGGTCCAGGGTCAACTACGGAACCAGACAAATCAACTGAAGAACCAACAGAACTTGAAGAATTACCTCTGCTTCCATTAAGATTTTCCGAAGAATCACCCGAGCAGTCTCTTTTAACCCCATTTTTGATACTAGTCTTCGGACTTTTGAGGGGGGCTGTGGACGAGCAACAGACAGATTTATTATTACGGCAGCAGGAATAACCAACACCACAACCATATCTAGTCATGTCTCGTCCCCTTCTTTTAGAACCATGAGCTGGATGAGGTGAGTGGGCAACTCCTATCATAGGAGATGAATGAGATGTATGGGAACTAGCAGCATCATGAGGAGATAAATGCACACCACCATCTGTTGTGGATCTTAGAGTACCATCTGATCCAGATTCCACTTGACTTCCTGAGGATCCGGGAGAACCAGGAAACCTATCATTTGAACGGGACCATCTTGGTGGTGAAGCATGATGATGTAAACCAGGAGCTATGTGAGGATGGCCCATATTACCAGGCAAATGATCCTTTTCCAGATTTGGCTCACCATTATTTCCAGTCTTACAATCACCTCGCCTTTCCTTTTTACTAGAAAGAATAGTCATCTTGGAAGTATTCTGGAATTAAGAAAAGCACACACACACTCCACCAAAGTAACAGTCAATTAAAGAAAACAGTCAAATCAATTTTTTTTTATTGCTTTATCACCAAAAAAAGCAATCTTTACCTTTCTCGAGGCCAAGTTAAATTAATCTAAAGGATAAATCAACAATGAATACTTCAATAGATACTAGGATAAATAACAAATAAGATATTAGCTCATTAGTAATTTAAGGAAAATCAAAGTGGATTAAAATTTAACCCAAAAGAGGGTGAGAGCATTAAAGAAGAAAGCAGAATCAAAAATAAACAAGATGATTTTTTTATGCTTAAAAAGACAATACCTAAAGATAATTAGTTCTACGAGATGGCGGCACTCAGAATTCAATTTTTAAAAATTTTTTCAACCAGATTGTTAATTTGACTCTGATTTTAATTTTTCAATTCATAGAACCAGATAAAAATAAGCATTACGAGGATCAAATTAAATTAACGAGATAACAAAAACAAGGAATGTATGACGTGATGGTGTCCTTTAATACAACCAAAATAGATTTGTTACATCAAAATAGAGAAATAAAGTTCATCGAGAACGATGTTTCTTTACAATTCATTTAATTATTTTTATTTTAATTCTATAATCAGAGCAAAAATTTTCCAGTCAATTTTTCATATCACCATTTATTATATTACATAGTCTGAAAATGGTCATGGTATATAGTCTGTAACTTAAAATTGGCTTCTCGCTTGACTTTTGCCTGAAGATCTTGTCATGGGATAGTAGAACAGCATTTCTTCCTAATTTGAATTCCTGGTTGATTTTTTGATCGCCAAACCAAATTATGATGTTTGAAGCCATTGAAGGAAAGTTAGGTTATAGTTATTAAAATCCAATCTAGCAATAAAGCAATTTCAAGCTACTCCGCAAATTTTGGCATTAGTAGGGCTCATCAATAAGTGGTGTCAATTTTTTTGGCTCAGGGAATCGTGTTGGGCCCATTTTTTACTGACCAGTTGAATTGGAATTATCATCACAAATATTGTCATCTTTAAATTAAAACCGTTTAAAATCCGTTTGTACTTGTTAATAATCAATATCCAATCGTTTGTTTTACACAGTTTTTTTAACATTGAAAATTTAATCGAAGATATTTATATTCGTTGAATGATACAAAAAGAGTAAAAATGAACAATTTTTCATGGATGATCAATATTATTATTTATTAATCTTATCATTAATTAATTACTATTGTTTATATAATTAGCATAATACATTAATTGAAAAAAAGATTTTCTCAATCGTTAAGTTTCTCTTTCTTAATTTTCAAATCTCGTTCTTGAAATGATAGTTCATCTCTCGGACTATTCTTTCGTTTACGGCTGGAAGATGTAGAAGGTAAATTTACAGTTTCGCTTCTTGATAGCGAGTGATTGCCTATACTTGAGTTACCACTAAGCCTTTCTTTGGATATTACAACTCTTAAACTAGGAGGTATTGAAGATGGTTCATTATTTAATTCACTTTCACTTCCACTATAACTAATTTGTTTTTTAGATATTTTTAATTTTATAGGTGATGGTTTTTCTTCTTCTTGAGGCACAGGTAGAGTTAATTTGAAATCCTTATCCTTATGGTTGGCTTCTTCATGGTCATGATCACTTCGATGTTTTTCTCGATCCCGATCCTTGTGTTTATGTTTTCTCTTATGTTTATCTTTATGATGTTTCTTATGTTCATGGTGTCTATGATGGTGTTTATTTTGATGCTGATGTTGATGTTGATTTTCTACTTTAAATGCTGACTTAGGTCTAGATTCATTAGTGGAACTAGAATTTCCTGAAGAATGAGTATTGTAGTTCACCGAGTTATGATCTACATTTTGCCCAGCTGAGCTCCGGGAATTCGTTTGAGGTCTATGCAGAAGAGGAGGCATTTCTTTTTCGTTACTTCTAGCAGCTGGAGAAGGGGATCTTTTATCGTAATCATTAGAACCTAAGGGCGGATGTTGAATTGGAGTAATTTCACTGCTTTGCCTTAACACCGGTAACTGACCAGAATGTGATAATGATGGCGGTTGGATTTGTGGATGTGGCTGTGATTGCTGCTGCGATTGCATATGCAGTTGTGGCTGTAGCTGCGACTGTAGCTGCGGTTGCGGTAGCAATTGAGGCTGAGGTTGTGGTTGTGGTTGCGGTTGTGGCGGTAGTGGTGGTAGTGGCTGTTGTTGTGGTTGTGGCTGTGGTTGCAGTGGTGGAGGTGGTTTTGATTTCATTTCAGTCTTTAAGAGTGAATGTTTTTTATCATCCTGTGAAAAAATAGAAATTTATAATATTAGAATCATAGATGCTAAGGTTTGTAATTAAGGTTAAGGATTGTAGCAAAATTGATACATACTTTTGACTGCGGACGTTGTCTATTATCTGAGACCATATTAAGAGCATCCATACTCAATGAATTGTGTACATTAGATAGTTGACCAGATGCATGAGATGAATGAGACATGGAATGCGTCCTTACTGGTTCTTCTTTAATTTTTTTGATTGGTGGTGAAGGTGATCTTTTCTTATTAGAACTAGATATTGAAACAGGTACGAAAGTTGATTGTCCGGCCGTTCTAGAAGTGGATTGATTATAACCAGATGATGATACTGGTTTAGATTTAGCGTCATTTTTAACAGGTGACACTTTTTTCTCCTCCTGTTAAATAAAATAAGAAACAAACAAAATTACAATCAACTCATGACTCAAGTTTGCTTTTGGTGGACTTTGATGATAAATACCTTGAATGCAGATCTATGTCTAGTTTCATTGGCAAAACTAGAATTTCCTGAAGAATGAGTATTGTAGTTCACCGAGTTATGATCTACATTTTGCCCAGCTGAGCTCCGGGAATTCGTTTGAGGTCTATGCAGAAGAGGAGGCATTTCTTTTTCGTTACTTCTAGCAGCCGATGGAGGCGATCTTCTATCGTAATCATTAGAACCTAAGGGCGGATGTTGAATTGAAGTCATCTCACTGCTTTGTCTTGACGCAGATAGCTGACTATGATGTGATGATGATGGCGGTTGCGATGGTGGAGGTGGAGGGGGTTTTGATTTAGTTTCAACCTTTGAGATTGTAGATTTTTTGTCGTCCTGTGAACAAAAAAAATGAAATAGAGAGATCGTTATTACTACTGAACCAATTATATAAATTTTTTGGTACATACCTTCAATTGAGAACGTTGTCTATTATCTAAGGTTGTGTTAAGAGCATCCATACCCAATGAATTGTGAACATTTGATGATTGACCAGATGCTGAAGATGGATGAGACATGGAATGCGTTCTAGTTTGTTCCTCTTTGGGTTTTTTCGTAGGTGACGGCGACCTTTTCTTGTTAGAACTAGGTACTGAAATCGGTGTCGAAGCAGATTGTGCGCCTGTTTTCGAAGTTGATGGTTGGTTATAGCCAGAAGATGTTGCTACTGGCTTAGATTTAGTTTCGTTTTTGACAGGCGATACTTTTCTGTCCTCCTGAAAACAATGAAAGAAAAAATAAAGTTAAAACAAGTTCATTGCTGAAATTACATGCACACAAGATGAGTTGAATGACTTCAAGCTGAATATTGCATCATATTCTATCAAGACTTGCTGTAATAAATGAATTTATCGAAATAATATAAATACCTTTGGGGTCAGATGAGTGATTGCTTCATTAGTCAAGGTTCCTTGACTAGCATTTCCACCGAGGATTTTTCTTTTTAATCTGGAAGGACACTTATCCCAAGTTGCTAAAAATTCTGAAGTTATATCTTCTAACATTTCAGCCGTAACTTCTTTATCTACATAAAAAAACCAATCTTTTCCTTGGGTAGACTTTGGTATCTATAAAGAAACAGAATAAAATATTGTCAGTTAAAATTTAGAAATTAATATTCAAGATAAAGTCATGAAACTAGAAGATGAAAACTCACCTCCCAATTAGACCATTTACATGCTAGATGTATGCAAACACAAGCCACCACAGTGGGACGATATTGTAGGCACATCGTTGTCAAATGCAAACTGTTGGTAGCCATAAAGTATGATGTTTGCGCGAGATCTTTACTTGCTGCAAATCCATCATAATATTAGAAACATTCTAAATACATTTTTTCAATTTTAAATTACCTCTTACGAGCTGGCAACATTTTACTACGAAGGTATGTGGATGCTCTATGGCTATGTCGAACCCAAGTGTCTGTAACATGATGTTTTCGTTCACTATTAGCTCCTGAGCTTGTTCCTGATAAGCCTAAAGAAGAAAAATGAATACAAAATGAATACACTTTGCACGATGGGAAGGCAATGTTAACTTACTTCACTTTTTGGATCTAATGGTGGTTGATTATTATTTAGACACTTATGTGCGACTTTGATCACATATTCTAATTTGCGAGGCTGTTCTTCCACTTTGGCTGCGAGAAACAACGCACAAGCTGCTATTGGCTATAATGAAAAAAAATAAATGTTGGTTAGTTAAAGCCAGTAAGTAAGCTGCTACTCCAAGCCTAGCGAATAGCTTCATCTGCCACGAGTTTTTGACGTTCAAATGATCGGTCTATCATTTGGCAGATGACTATTTACTATATATTAAGCATGAAGCGGTGAAATAAATATCAATGGGTACTTACATTTCTATGAAATCTTTGAAAAGAATGAAAGACGTAGAATCTATGCATGTAAACAATAGCAGTATTTATACACAATTGATTCCTACATTATGAAGAGAAACAAAATAATTATTTAATATCATCGGGTTCACTTGACACTGTAGTACTTAATTACACAATCATCCATCATCAGTTCAAATTAAATAGCACAATTAATAGCACAAAATAAATTCCAAATAGAGCCATTTCACTTACACATTCAAAAGTCTACCCATGTCTTGGATTAAATTGGCTGCTTGCTGCCGATTGGAAAGTTCTTTATCATAGTCCATACCACATTTTCGCGATGGAGTGTTGATTAGGGCTTCCTTGGTGAAATACCAACGAGACTTATTATTACTCATTATGTCCCAATTAAATTAATAATCAACAACACCAATCCGCACATCCAAACAATTTACTGGGTCGCTACAGAAGAGTTTACAGCACCATCTAGCTGTGATGGCAGGAAAACTACCAAATTCAGGCGCGAAAATATAGATATAAAGTTGAAATATGCTGGATAGAGTTGAAGGAAACAAAATGAAAGATGTTGTTATTCACTTGACTAGAGTGTTGTTGACTAGAGTAACAACTGAATTAAAGTGAATGGAATGGTCAATTGTCAAATTTGGAATAGGAGGTTGGACGAACGCAGCCCATAATTTGCCCTTCTGGCCTTGGAGTAAACGGATTAGGTGAGTAACTAAGCGCTTTTCTAGGTTTTAAATACGTTTATCTTTATATGTTAAGTTAATCGCCTCAATACTTTCGTCAGTATTTCAATGAGCTTAGCAATTTTATTTGATATATTTTATTTCTTAATCCTTAATTGTGTCCCTAGTTTTATTAGAAAAAGAAATGAAACGCAATGAATTTTAATCATGGTTATTTACACAGATATGCATTTTGCATGCAATTGCAATTTAATCACTGGGGAGAGATGGAAGCACTGTACTTGATATTAAATATCTGTGTGAGTACAAGGTGGCGAGAAAGTTTATGCTGAATGGGGCAACTAAAAGGGGAATAAATATGCGCATAGAAAGAGCGGTTAAAGATTAAATGGGCGTTGCTTAAGCACATAAACTTTCTCGCCACCCCGTACAGTGGTCTCTCTCTTAAGTTGCTGTAACGAGCCAAACGCTGCTAGGTGTCAGTTTGATCAAATACTGAGCAAATTGAAGAGCGAAATTTGAGTTTATTTAATACTTAACGAGAGTAGCCTATGTTGAAGGTATGTTTAAATCAATCTTTACTCCAGATGGCGGTAAAAAAGAACTTAACAGAGAGCACACTTAAGAGAGAGACTACTGTATTTGAAACAACTTCATCAACTTATCTCGAGAATCGTCTTTCTTGCTTATTATCTTTCGTGAGCCTCTTATTGCTGAGAAAAAAACAGGATTTATTTTTCGTGTTGTGATTTTTTGTTGTTTCTTTGTTTTTGTTTTTTTATATAGTTTGTCAAAATGCTACTCTGGTTAAAACTACTTCTCTCACGTTGACTATAAATCTACCTAATGAGTCAGTGGATTAACAGGTTACTTACTGGAAATATCAATTGTTTGAATTTACTATCTAAAGGGGATTATCACTAAATCAACTTTTATCCATCTCAACAAAACCTCACACATTCAAAATCAATAATAGCAGAGGCATCATCAACATTCTTCGTTTTCGTTATCTCCTCGCTACCAGATAAAACCAAAAGCCAAAAGCCCTACAAATTAAAATGGATACTTTTCGTGAAGGGCTCAATACACCTCCAATGACAATAACTTTCCATGATTACTTTGACGATAGCTTTGATGGTCATCAGTTTGACATGTTACAAGCTGCCCCGACAACAATCACCAATATAGACGCTAATGGAATGACTGTTGGTTCTGTTGAGGGTCAAAATATTGATGGTAATCAGATTAATTATGACAGCAGCATACACTTGTTAACATCTTCAGCTCCACTGCCATCAACATTAACAAGTGGTGGGCACAACTCTTCTATTACTTCTAATTTGGAATGCTTAACAAATCAATTTATCTCTAATACGGGGCACTCCTCATCCACAAATCTCAATGTTGACAACTTACCAAACAATCTATTACCTGGACAACAATCAACTGATTTTCTAGTTGACCAAGAAAACTCAGGGTTAGTATTATAAAGAGAGCAAAAAAACAATTTATTGTCTATGCAAAGCTATTGATAATGTTTCTATTTTATAATACAGTCAAAGAAAATGAGTTTGATTCAAACAAAATTATCTTTGACAAGTCTATACATTCGGTAATAAGAAAGAATTTTGAATATTTTTATCAATTCAAAATTTGGCCGGTAATCGACGATTGTTTACAATTTTTCTTATTCCGTATTGACTTGTCAATGTGCGTAAATATAATTTTGTTTTATCAAACTCATTTTCTTTGACTGTATCATACACTTTTTTGAGAGCTGGGCGAGTTATATAATAGCATTGAATGGGCGAGAAAAATCAACTTGAGTTATCTAATTTTCATCTCTATTCCTCTGATAAAAATCCTACTGATGCCATCATTCCATTTAAAAATTATTTACCAATAAGGCAAACTTTATTTAGCCTTTTCGCTTCTCTTCTCTCAACAAATGAACTTATTTTTAGATAATTTTTTGGAAGACTTGTGTACTTTCTCTCTTACTCTTTCATCATTTTTACTCCCTCTACTGGCACAGATTCACCTAATTAATCCTTATGTAAATTTGGGTCCAACCCAATAAGAAACCTTCAATAATTTAAATTCTACTGCCCTTAGCTCTAAAAACTTGGAATCTGTTTATAGTTAAATAGACATAGTTAAGACTCTTATTGGTCATGGAATAGTTCCTGGAAACCAACAAGTTTTATAGTGAAAATCTAATGAACAAATGGTTGTCTTAAATACTTGTTGGATTTTTAGTGTAATCAGATAAAAAATCATGCAAAGTAGCTTTCAGAAGAAAGGTTCGACTAAATATAACTACAAAGACGTACCTAAATATATTTAAAGAATAAGAGAATGATGTTAATCTTTTTGAAAATAGGAGAGAGGGAAACCACAGAAACTAGATCACTAAGAGTAAAAGGCGAGGTTGTATCAATATTTTTTCTTCCTCATTACTTTCCAACGGAAAATTCAAAATAGAATTGACAAATTAATAAGTTAAATAAATTAGCGAATCAAAGTGAATCGTAGAAAAAAGCACAAATGTGCTTTTGTAGATGCAAAAAGAGATGAAGGTTTTTAAATGAAAATTAACGCATTTGCTATTGTAATGGAAATGAGACCTTACACAGTAAAATTAACGAAATAGCGAATGGTTAGTTGGAAGATGAAAAAAAACGACAGAGAAAGCAAGAAATTGTTTGATGATCTAATTTTAATTGCTAATTTGTTTCTAATTATTCTATTTCCTATTTTATTTTATTATCTACAGTTATATTCACCATAGCATAACAGAGGACCAGATAACTATGCATGTTCATCCAGGGAATAGTCCAATGCCACGAAATCCATCTCATGCCATGTTAACTATAGAAACTCGTAATGAAAATACCAAGAAGAGGGAATACAGAGTATTCCGATGTGAATTCAATGACTGTCGACGAACTTACTCTACTGCTGGTAACCTGAAGACACATCATAAGACACACACTGGAGAGCTTACCTTTGTATGTAATCAAGAAGGTTGTGGAAAGGCTTTTTTAACATCTTACAGTTTACGCATTCATACTCGGGTACATACCAAGGAAAAACCTTTTGAATGTCAAATTAATGGATGTGAGAAGGCATTCAATACACTTTACCGACTTAAGGCACACAAGCGACTTCACACTGGTAACACGTTCAATTGTTCAAGCGATGGTTGTGTCAAATTTTTTACTACTTTAAGTGACCTTAGGAAACATTGGAGGACTCATACAGGAGAAAGACCCTACAAATGTAACCAACAAGGTTGTGGTAAATCATTTTCGGCTAGTCACCATCTTAAAACCCATATTCGAACTCATACAGGAGAGAAACCATATTCATGTAACCAGGAAGGTTGCCGTAAATCATTTACTACTCAATATAGCTTGAAAAGCCACTTAACCCGTCATCAATTGAAAAAATCAAATGGAAATGAAATTAGCAGCAATAATAATTCCAAGAATGTTAAACAACGGAAAGATGAAGACAATGTCTCTAACTTTGTTGACGACAATCAAGCTACTACATCTATGGTAACATCGTTATCATCACCTCAATCTTCTTCATGTTCATCATCAAGCTCAGTCTCGTCTTCACATTCACCTCACCAATGTAGTAGAACGTCTACAATAATTTCTTATGTTGGTACATTATCATCGTCAGCCTCATCATCAACTTCATCTTTACCTATCAATATTTGTCAGGGACCAACTTCTGAGTCTCATGCAGCCATAAATAGCAATGGGATGAACTGCGAGCTTTTAGATAATGTTAATAGCAACAACAGTAGCAATAGTATTATTAATAATAATAGAAATAGTAGCGAAAGTAATAAATGCAATAACAATAACAGTGACAACTGCAATACATGTAACAATAATAACAATATTAGCAATAACAACAATAATAATAATGGGCTATTAGTTGCCAATTTTAATACCTTGAATAGTTCAGTTGAAGGTTTCAATGAGACTGCTTCTAATGTTGTCAGAGAATGTACCTCCGGTGTAATTAATGGATCGGCTCCGATGGATGTATTAAACTCCGTTAATGTTGAAATGTTTGCTTCTCATTCAGTAAACGCAATTCAATTGATACCTCAAACAACTGAGAATGCCACAGGTAAACATTATTTTTTTCATTATTTCGCTATTAAACTATATAAATAAATTGTTCATTATTGTTTCTTTTCTATAGCTTACACTTTTCTACCGATCACTACGGAAACTCCGGCAAATCAATATTTACCCGTTGAAATGTCTACAATTATCAATATCTCTTCACCTTATGGGACTTCTACAAATCATGGTGAAGTAAGCAACAACAATGCCAATAACAATTGTGATAACAGTGATCATAATAGAAACAGCGAAAACACCAACGATAATAGAAACTCTGATTGTCCCAATAACGGTGAAAACAGTTCTTTTGACCATGCAAAGGAGATTAAATTTTCAAAAGATACAAATTTTATACCAACTCATGGATGCTGTGATCCACAAAATATTATCTTTGGAGCTGCAACTCAAGCCGACATTTGCAAATGTGATCCTGGTCAATGTCGTAAAAATGGTCTTTGTTGTCCTGGCTGTCCTGGTGAGGACATGTGTATCGAAGAATCCAATTCAAATATTGCAAATAATTATGCTAAAGTAGAAAGTTCATCATCATCATCAACAATAACACTACCAATTATTGCTATTCCAAATCAATCCATTTCTTCGTCTTCTAATCTGAATGGTTCAAATTTACCAGACAATTATTCAGATAATTTGGGACATTCTTGTTGTGCCTAATATTTTTTTTTGTTGCAAAATTACCAGATTTTGTCTATCAACTGTGTCCTGTTTGATTTTCTTTTCAAATTTTATCTCCGATTTGAGTTGAGTTGTTCAAGTTTTTCTCTCATCGTTGGTAGCTGTTAAACTGTTGCTGGAAATTTTATTTTACGTTCTTGTCGCTTTTTAATCATCCTTTTTGTGGCCAAAATAGGCTGTTGAATTTCATCGATTTAAATTAATCTAAAGCGGATCAATATGCTAATACTGCAACTAATGTAATTTTTTCCCCGTTAATGGTCTCTTTTGGGTCATCATCGTCCTATTGCCTTTTTCTGTGCCTAGCTTGGCTGCTCAGTTTGTCTTAAAGATGATTATATTGTTAAATATATAAATAAATATAAATATATCAGTTAATAGATTATGATTTAACTATCATTACCATATTAATGAAATTACTTGTATAATGTTGAAAATAATTATGAAATGAGATGAATTGAAATAAAATTTCTGCCTTCATTTTACACATGAAAAATAAAACAACATCGACTTCTCTGAATGTAGTCAAATTGTCTTGATCATTGTCAGCAACTTTCATTGATTGATCTTGCCTTGATTTCCCAATGTTGATGATTTTACCTGAATTAGCATCGACAGTTCACTTCAATTCGACTTGTCATCATTGTTAATGATTTTGTCCTTTTCACTACAAACAAAAACAAAACATCAACGATGCGACTTTACTTTTGGTTTAATTTTATCAACTCATGATAACCATTTACCTACCTCATCTGGAACTAAAATGATCAACATGTTTGATCAAGGTTAGATATTACCCTTTCCAGATTGATTATCATGACCATCAGTCTAATTCACATCATCATTATTGTCATCGTTGTTGCAGGTAAGTAAAATTAACCCATATTCACGGAAATAATGAAAGATTATTCCAATAGAAGAGTTGAGGACTTGAGACTTACAACACTTTTAGCTCATGTCTTCGTAGTTTTCATGTTGAATTAAATTGTTGACGAGATTTTGAATTATGATTGGCAAATAGTCGGCCTTATATATCGATGGACTCATAAGCACTATATGAGCACTTAGGACTCTCTACAATATCAGTAAAATTGTAAACAATAAAATCATCTAAATCAATAAAATACCTTAAACCTGCTTAGTCACCTGATTGAATCAACTTTACCTGTTGATACAGTACATTTTAGCGATTGATAATTGAATAGTACAGCAATTAATGAAATAATAGCTTTCAATTTACCAATTGAACTAATTGAAACATTTAAATTGCAATTTGTAGTTTGAATAACATTAATACGTTTTTACAGAGCTATTCAGCCTCATTTACCTCACGTTTTGTTCAATATCTCACGAGTCAAACATGCTAGGTTACACAGCTGTAAAAAGGTGTGCTCTTCGAAAATGCCCTTCAAAAGTCGTTTGCAGGTCAAATGAACGAATGGCCTTAAATGACTTCGAAACTTTGTATTAAATGGTCCTTCAATTCTCAAAAACATATATTTCATAGTAATAGGTATGTTTGGCTCGTGAGATATTGAACAAAACAAACGAGGCTGAATATTATAAATAGAGTATAAAAATTAGATGTATCGATATGTTACATAAATAAGATTCAAAAGTAAGTTCATACGAGAATGATTCAGGTTACTCAGAAGAAATTAATTTATGAAGATTTTCATTACTATCGATTCCTGCAAAATCAAAATTATCACCTCTTCTAAATATTAATTTGATTTATCCGTATCTCAATGAAAATGAAATACATCTTGACGTGACAACTTATTATTTCTGAATTTTGGTTACAATTCTTGTCACTGTTTACAACTCTAATTATAATTTGATTCAAGGGTAAATGAAGGATTCAAGATAGTTGTTATCTAGTCATTAATCCGCAGATTAACAACAAAAACATCTAAGACAATGACTGTTAATCCGGCGTTTGACTTGTTAATAAGGTCAAGACTGGCCTCAACGTGAAATGCAAATAAGCAGGAAGTGCAGCTTTTCATTGGCTTATCAGCTAGGATTTCAAATGCCAAATTTTAAACTTGCTATGCACCTAGAGTGACCGTACAAGTAGTAACAAAGTTTTTGCCCTAGCAAGTAAAAAAATTGCAGAGCGAAGCTGATGGATTCTCGTAAAACTTAACAAATATATCACAGACTGAGATCATAAATGGAAATATGGCTGATGATTTGATGAAATTTACCATCTTGTTTTCACAATTCATCTTTAAGCAGCTTTTCCGTATGCAATAAGTCACTAGCAAAAAAGTGTGTGGTTTTATCGAAATGGAATGAGTGTAGTCGAATTCGAGAGGCAAAAGCACTGAACGATGAAACACAATTTCCAATAAAGTAGTTTGAATAGGATAATAAATATGTATCGATGATATAGTGTGCCTGGTTATAGCCCCGAGTTATATTATTCTTGATGTAAGTAGCTGTTGGAGTTATCAGCGTAACCTCTGGAAGTTTCTTGTGAATTTTTTGCCAAACAGAATGATCATCATAATCGGTTGCAATATAAACAACTTCCAATTTTTGGTTATTCACTTCGGTTAAAGCACGATTGATATCTTCAATGATCGTATCTACGGAATGTGAACATAATTCATAAGGTAATTTGAATTCTTTCAAATCAACTCCATATCGTTGAATACATTGATCTGATGAAAATAATTGATTCATTTCATTTTCTTTCAAAAGACTGCAAGCTTTAATCTGCAATAGAGGAAAAAAAGAAATTATTAGTCGATTGATATGATTAATGAGCTTTGTAGATTTTTAGTATTACCCAGTCAGATCCATGTCTCAGATGCACACCCAAGTAAGGTTTCCCGGTAAAACCTCGCGCTTCTCTGTATCTGGCAGCTGAATCAGCAATAAAGTCTGAGAAGTGTAAATATTTTTGTAATGGAATAGCTTCTTGATTAGTAGGAAAAGAAGATGGAGCTCCTATGAAATAAAAGGTATAAAAAATAAACTTATGAGATATTGAAACAGGAAAAATTGATTTAGAAATTTCATTACACTTACCAACAAATGCAAGAGTCTTTAAATCTTTGTATCTCTCTTTCCAAAACTCAGCTTCATTGAACTGAGTGATCAGTGGCTGATGAAAAATTGATGATTGGAATCGAGTTATATTAAAATGATGCCAAAATGGTTTGAATGGGCTTCCATCAAACGGATTGCAATCAGGTATTTGGTCATTATCTCCTTTTCTGGGTCCATAGCAAAGGATGAATCTTTCATCTAAACATAGAGGAAAATAAACAGAATTGAAATCATAAATCTGATTAGAAAATAACAGATTAAGAAGACATGATACATGTACAAATATTTATAATTTCATAGCATCATAACTGAACTTACTTTCAAGCCAAACTTTTGGAGCGATATTTGTCATGAAGTCTTCGATGAGAACAACTTTGTGATATTGTTTCAGCGGTTCTAATTTGAAAAATTTATCGAATGGTGAAAATTCAACCTAGATAAGAAAAAAAAATGTTGAAAATCATATTTGTTATCCGGGTTGTCATTTGACGAATTACCTGATAATTGCGGTATTCAATAAACGGTGGTAAAACCAAAGTACGATCTAGATACTTGGCAAACAATAGAGAACCAAGGAATTGTTCAGCTTGATTACCAAAACGTCCTAATTGAATGAGAGAAAAAGAGAGAAAAGATACAGATTTATAACACCGTATTAACCAGTCTGAAGAAACCTTCAGTTAATTGACCGAAAGTTGGAAAAAGTAACCAATATTTACTTACCCATGCAAGGACAGTAGATAATATAACCATTTCCATCGACTTTTGAACATATAGATAGTGAATTAAAACAACAAAATATTAACAAAACACGAATTATCATGATGAACCAAGAGTCAAAAATAGACATTTTTGAACCCAAACACATGTGAAAAAGGGGGAGATTCAAAACATATGTAGACACAACTGTACTAGGCTCACACTATGAGCACGAGTAGTGTTTACAATCTTTCAACTGATAGAAATGATAATTATTTAATTTCAATAAGCACAACTAGATTAAGGTTTGTTTTCATTTCACTCTCAGATTGAATAAGACGCTGAATAAAAATAATGGGTCCGATGAGTGTAGATGCAATAGATTATAAGAGGTAAATATTCATAGGTTTGCAGTCTGAACTTATATGAACTGGAAAAGAATTGCCGAGAGATTGAGGTGATCAGCCTAGACAACCCAAACTGGATTAGATACTCAATACAGCCATGAGAAATAAATCAGGTTTTTCTTATTTTATGAAGTAATATTTCAACATGGACACAGGTTTTTGGAGTCACGTGATTGGAGAAACTTTTGTCTATGTATACATCGCTTTAAGTGTCTTCAATTAACATCTGTAATCTTATTTTATTTCATTTTTGCTCCCTTTGTTTTGATATATTTATTTCCATCACTGATTAATTATTGCCTGATCTACTATCAAACCGATAATCTTTTTGTTTTAATTCTTCAGAGCCTCAGTCAGTGCATTCCATTTTTCTAGGTACACGGCAGAGTTATAACGCCCTGTGTAATTCATTTGTTGTTTTCACTCATTTTGTTGAGTTTTTTGGATGGTTAATGTTTTTTAATTAAGAACAAGTGACAAAATTTAAAATGAAAACTTCATTTGTGTTACCGTTGTTGACATTTGTTTACCTTCAACTGTTTGTTTCATCCACTTTCCAAGCAAATTTTTTCGCGTCCAATGATTCTACCAGCCTTAAAGGTCTTATTCTGGTTAGTTGAATACTGATTATTCATGATTTTGGTGTTTTAAACAGTGTTTTATTTTTTGATTCTGATAATAGATTGCTCAGAAAGGATACACATCAATACCGACCAATGAAACATATCCAAATGATGAGTATACTGTACCAGAATATTGGCCAGATGGATATGGTCAATTAACGATTGTAAGTATTTTTGTCTTCAAACTTTATCCAACTAGATTGTTGAATTCCTTGAATTTAAGACAGATAATAGAATATTTATTTTCTTTTTGTTAGACTGGCAAGCAAAAGATTTATAAACTTGGTCAATCAATTGCATCTAAATATTCAAAATTTTTGCCAAACAATCCTCATGAAGTTTACATTCAAAGCTTTGATGATACTCCATGTTTTGAATCAGCTGAAGTCCTAGCTGCTGGAATTTTTCCTCCCGTTGATAGATGGATCTGGAATGATAAATTAAATTGGCAACCAGTCAAAGTTAATGCTCGCCCAGCATCTTCTGACAATGTAAATACCAACTATTAATTATATTTGCTAACAAACAGATAGCATCATGTACTAACCTTTTTCAATTTTTCAAAGGTACTTGGCTTTTCGATTCCTTGTGAGTTACCAACTTTGAGTACTACAGAGACCAAGGAAGCTTACATTCAACTGACCAAAGCTCACACGGGTCTATTGTCATTCATTTCCGAAGCGACTGGATGGACTGATATGAGTATCATGCAATTCGTTGACTTGTATAAAACAATTATCCTAGAAGAGAACAACATGTTATCACGTCCGCCATGGTTAAATCAAACTATCTGGCAAGAAATGGATAAATTTGTTTCCGATTTAGCATACCTGATGTACTCCAATCGCCAAGTACAACGAACCATAGCTGGACCGCTTTTAGCTCAAATTTCGGAAAATATAGCAAACATTGAGAAAAATGGAGAGCCAAAAGTATATATTTATGTCAGCCAACAGCCTAAACTCATCACCTTGCTAACCAGTCTTTTAATCAACAATACTCAAGAAATTCTCACTAAACCAGGATCCGTAATAGGACTAGAAATTTACCAAGAATCAGGGAAGAAGCCATATTTCAACTTGGTATTCAATGATGGTGATAAAACCGAAAACTGGAAACCATTGGCAATGTATGGATGTAACCAAAACTGTACAATGGATCATTTCAATAGCTTCGCTAAACTCATTTCTCCTCTGACTGCTCAAGAACTTTGCGCTCAATCAGATAACAAGCCAGTTACATTCCCTTCTATTCCTAAGTCTCCTGAATCTGCACCAGCCACAAACGTCGAAACAGATGCTGATAATGCTGCAAATGAAGATTCATCTTCTGGAGGAGGTCAGTATGGTTTCTTGAAATAACCAATCTAAAATTAAAAAATCTTGATTAATCTAGAGTTCTAACTTTTCTCATTATCTATTCTAGGTTGGCGAGCCTTTTTAATCACCATATTATGTTTGGCCTGTGTTGCTCTCATTATTTTTGGTGTTTCATCTTACATGAAAAATCGACAAAGAGTAGAATACTTTTTCATCTAAATAATCAATTGCTGCGAGCAAACAATTTTTATTCACCCAAAAAAAGATGTCAAATTCAAGTAGTTATTCATATTTAATGGGACAATTCAGAGCAAATATGAAGTGATTTTAAGTGGACAAAAGTGAATTTTTATGAAATACTGTACATGAATCATAATATAAATATCAATCGCACTTACAACAAGAAAATATCGGCCCATTATTTCATTTACTGATAAACTTGTAATTTTTATCGTATCACCTTATCTGACTAAAAAAATTCCATTGTATTTTTGTAAATCAACTTCTATCAAAACTAATAATGCTATTCAAAAAGAGATGTTGAGCTTTTTGTAAAAGTTATCTTTCCTGATTCGTAATGATAAATTTTTACATGAACCTGTTTACGGTATTTTCCAACTAAAAGCCATTTAAACTTTGGATTGTCAGAGTAAACCTGGAATAGATTTTCTCTGCGATTATTTCAATTGAGTTACAAAAAAATTCATCAAAATTCTAACCAAAGATGGAGCTAAGGTCAATGATAAACAGTGTTGCGATTTATCTGATAATAAGGTTGAAACCATTGAGATTAATCTAGTGAATTAATGTCAACTCTATGACTGGTCTACCATCTGATTGTGTCAAACTTGATTAACACTCTTACAACAATAGAATAATCATCACCCTGCTTTTTAATCAACTCAACTTACATCAGAGTGGTAATTTATCAACATACATGTAATTGCCATTATTATAATGGAGAAAACCTGTTTCTAATATGGTCTCATATTTGGCTCGTCCCTTTCCTAAAATGTTAGCTTGAATTGAGAAAGCTTTCTTCAGGTAAAACCACACCATATTCAGAAAAAGGCGGACTCAAGGGGAGTGTGATGATTCTATCAATGACTCTATCATTGTCAGACTTTTCCCAGTGAAACGGTTAACTGATCAGGCTAATACTATCTTCAGGTGAACCTTGTGAGCTTACAAATTGTAAGTTTTTTAAAATTAAAATCAGCCGATTGTTCTGTTAAGAGAGAGCTTTGAGTGAAAAACGTGTTCTTACATCTGTAATAACTCTCCAGAATATCTTCAGTGAAATACTTGACTCCTTGGTTGGTTCGACGAATTTATAGCTGGTCTATCAAATAATCACTTGTTTAAACAGTGATTATCTAACATTTAAATTAGTCATCAATTTTTGATATCAACGTTTAAAACAATTGATATTCAATCACCTGTCTAGTAAAAAGAGCTGCTGTTAACATTGGTCAACCCAGTAGCGGCAAATATCTGATGATCCGGTGATTACAAAATTGTTATGTGGAGATTTAGTTAACCTGCCAAAATTTGAATTACAGTGGTGTTTTATCAACTTATTTGATTCATTGTAATTTTTAATCAACTTTTAACATAATTTATCTTCACCTCTATTGGTAAGTCCTTTTCATTTGATTGATGTTTTCATCCCTAAGCTGAATAAACTGTCAGTTTATTAAAAACTGTATCCTCTTTGAGTTAGATCTTCAGTTTATTTTAATTTTTGCTCCATTATTTTTAAAATTGTGTGTGACAATTAAAAACATCTTCAAATTGAAACCAAGCTTTGCCCATTCCACAACTGGTTGGATGTTAGTGTCAAGTAACCTTTATAAATCTTTACATTAAACCTTTACTCGCCATCTTTTTTTTTCGGTCTTCAACCCAAAAATTAACTCTTTCCTGTATATTAAATCAGCCTTTATTGTCCATGAAATTTCAAGTCAACATTTCAATTTTATTCATTTATATATAACTAACAATTTTCATTTTTCTTGCTCTTTAGGAAATCATTTCCCAACCATAGCCAGCTGAATACAATAATCAAATAAAATGGACTCGCCAATCATTACTTCAGACCCTTACTTGTACCGGTCCAATGCTGTATCACCAAATTACACTTTCGCATTTCCCTTCGAGAAATCATTTGTTTATACTGATGCCCGGGACTGGATGAGAGGCCATTGGCAAACTGCTTTCTATTGGATTGCTCTTTATTTAGTCATGGTTTTTGGGGGTCAAGCATACATGTCCAACAGGCAACCTTTTAAATTAAGACCGCTTCTTATTCTTTGGAATACTAGTTTGGCAATTTTTTCAATCCTTGGAACCATCAGGTAAGATATTGCAGGAAACCGTCAAAAGGCAGGAAAGCAAAACATGATAATTTCCTCGTTTATTCAGGCAATTTTTAGTTTTGTCGTTGAGCATCAGTCCCAGTTCAGATAATTTCTTGATCACCAAACTGTAAATCAAGTTGCAACTGTCAGTTCGGTCAGCAGAAGACATTGAATTATTTAGTTTTATTTAGTTTGACTTGCTTGGGTAATTTTTCTCCATATATTTCATTCAATTATAAATTGTTTCTCCTTGATTCCTGTCTGTCTCACATTTCCATTCTTGATGAATTTACTAGTCTGTGACAATTTTTACATACATGTATAAGGAGGTCTACCGATGAATGTGTTTATTTTACATGATATTGACACAAAAAAATACTTTTTATCAGTCAGCTAGTTGCTAAAAATTTAAATGAGCTGGTGAATTCAATTTGCGGCAGCTTCCCTCAATTATAGTCTAAATCAACAGTTTTATTCACCGAAATTAATGAAACTATTCAATATTCAAGTCAACCTTGCCCAATTGTTCATTTTCCAGTTTTCATTTTGAAACATTACTTTTTCTAGTGTTTCTTTCATGACAATTTGTTAATCATTTTATTGCATCCTTGATGATCCTTTCCATAATAATATTTTTGCAACTAATAGCCATTTCTTTGTATACATTCACAAATGCCCAATTCATACTCATTGTCACTCTTAGCAAGTCATTTATCTTGTTAACTTTGATATTTAAAAACATAGCTTAATACACAGAAACTTAAATGCAAACTTTCCTCATGATTTTACCTGATTCTTATTGCTTGTCATTAGTCTAATCACTCATTTTCAATTACCTTATAACCATATTTAACACCATTTATCCTTAATTCATTGAATTGCTTGATTAGTTGATTGAAAAGTAGGGTTACCATTGTTTTACCATTGAAATGTAATACTGAATCATAACGATTAGGAACTGAATGTCATTGAATACAAAAACAGTAGTTTATTACAGATTCCAGTTTGACATTGGCCATTTCTTGGCTAACCAATTACAGTACTGGCCAGGGTTAAGTTAACATAAGTGGACATTTTTCACAGTCACCCTCTGAAAGAAACTTTGTTCAGATCTTCGTATCTCGTAACTATTTCCTAACTAAATATTCCTGAGGCGGCTACACCTGAAAATAAACTTAACCCTGACCAATGCTGTATTATGTAACTCATGTTACAAAATCTCCTTGGATTCTTATTTTCCTTGGTCATCCAGAAATATTGCCGCTCACACAATTAATAACACCTTAAGGGTTAAAAAGTCACACATAAGGCCACCTTCAAATTAACCAAAACCACAGTTTTTTTTCAATTTGAAATAATTATTTTATCCTGGTCTAGTTTTATCAATGTTTAAATCACGTTTGAAGCAAGGTAATTTCCGATTGGTATAACATTTAACAAACGATTGTCCTTGATTGTGTAAACTTGAATTTGTATGTAAAGTATAAAGTCATGAAGGATTCCAATGAATCCCTGAATCTGGTTAGTGAGGATTCTGCTTATGAATAAAAGTTGACGAAGATAAGATGTTGAAATCTAATGTTATGAAAATATCATTTGATTTTAATCAGAAGGAAGTAAACTGTCTCAAGATTGAATATCGGTATTAGAAGGAATAACCAAGAAGTAAACAATTTCCTGGTTACCCAGTTTCTCTCCTTCATCATCATCATCATCAATATCATCATCTTATATCTGTAGCCTTTCATTACGCTATCATTTCTTTTAATTTATACAAACGTTCAATTTACCTCTAATTGATGTAAAATCTCCCTTGACATTAACCATCATTTTTGTCTCTTCACTTTAGAGTGAGCTTTTCAATTTCAACAATCAACCTTTATCAACCTTTATTCACGATCATAACACTTTCATTAATGATTATAACGGTCGTACGATGATAATGGTTACATTATCTGTTTGTATAAAATCATCTGTTTATACGGAAGCAAATGATTGAAATTGAGCTCAAGATTGAAAATAAACAATACCTTCTAAACAATCCTAACCTAGCCCTAATAACTGGTATCAACGGCTAATTTGTCATTCCTTATTTGACTCATCTTGCAATTTTTAATAGTCAATGAATCATTCCTCTTCGCCTACCATTCTTAATCATTCATGATCGAAATGGAGGTTTTTTTAATACAAAACATAAACCTTTAACAAATAATGATCAATTTGGACGATAAAATTTGTTTTGTACAAAATTTTTTGTTATGGCAAATCAAGTACTTTACTTGGCATTTTTTGTTTCATCATTTCCCTGTTTATCATGTTTTGGTTTTTGCAATTCAATGCATTCAATAATGAAGCATTACTATTATTCATCATAATTTATGGCATTCTTTAATAACACCGTTCATTGATTTATCTTCTTTTTCCTTGATTTTTATTCAGAATGATGCCAGAGATGATTCACATTCTGAGAAACTTTGGCTTCTACCATTCAGTCTGCAATCCAAGTTATATTGAAGTCAGCCGAGTCGCCGGATTTTGGACTTGGGCATTTGCTCTCTCTAAGGTTCCCGAACTCTGTGATACGCTTTTTATCGTTTTTCGCAAACAGAATCTCATCTTTCTTCATTGGTACCACCACATTACAGTCCTATTGTTCACCTGGTACTGTTACGCTGAGCACATTTCACAGGCTCGTTGGTACATTTGTATGAACTATGTGGTCCACTCATTCATGTACAGCTATTATGCTCTTCGAGCCTCTGGTTTCCGAGTACCAAAGCCAATCGCAATGTGTATTACCAGTTCACAAATACTTCAAATGATTATGGGATTCTATGTAACCTACTATGCCTACGATAAAACTGCACAAGGTTATCCTTGTACAGCTACTCCAGGCAGTATTAAGTGGGGTTTACTCATGTATGCTAGTTACTTCGTGCTTTTTGCCAACTTTTTCATCAATTCATACTACCGTAAAAACAAAGGTGTATCTCAACGAGGAATGAGCGATGCATCTTTTGTGAATTTTGTTAACCAAAAAACCTTGACTAAAACCGATTAAGCTTTTTTTAACGATTATTGAAATAGCAACTTTAACATTAACTTTAATATTTAAAACAAGATACGAATAATGGTTGAAAATTTGTTTAATAAAAAATAACCGTGGACATGGCGGTAAACATGACACTGACAATTTCTCGATTTTTTTTTCTAATTTCACTCAGGTTTTACTTTCGGGCAATTTTGGTTTTTCAATACAAATGGACTATAGAAGCTTTTATTTTGTTGGTTAAAAACAAATTCAATCAATATATGATTAATGTGTATTTATATTTACTGAATTTTTTCCGCAAAGAAAATGTGTTGAATTAATCAATTTAAGTTTGTTAATTATAATTAAGAGTAAAATCCAGAAAAAAAGACTTTAGAAGGAAAAGCATAGGAAGGGTCACTTAGCCAAGTTTGAATAAACCGGCAAACAAGCTGATAAAAAGCAACTTTGAAGCATCACAAACATTGTTGTCAAAGCTATACAAACCTGTCTTTTAGTCTAGTACTAATTTTTCATTTCATCAGTATTTAATATTTAATGTTTGTACCATTGTATTGTTTTAGTTAAGTTATTAATAATTTTGTAATATGGACGACACAATGGAAATCGAAACCAGTGCAGGTGACCAAATTGATGACCTGGTGGATTATCAAAGTGATAATGAGCTTCAGCTTGAAACCGATCCAATATCTGACTTACAAACTCAAGAGATTCGAATTGTTTTGCAAGAAGAGGCTCAATCAAAACAAATTGTTAAACTTGATGATCAAAAAATGAGCGAACTATATAGTAGTCTGGGTGTACCTTTAGAAGAAATCAGTTGAGTATATATTTTAAACGTGTTTTTATATTATAAACATTTGCGCCTTATTTCTAACCACTGCATTTCTTTTTCCTTTCCTCTTTACCCCTTTATTCCTTTTAGATAAAAAATGCTCGAATTGGAGGTTGAATGTTGTTCATATTAGAGGAGTCCAAGAAATGAATACAAATGACGTACTCGAGCTTTTCAATGATTATGAACCTGATTTCATTGAATGGGTCAACGACTTATCATGTCAGTAATGTTAAACTCTTTGCCTTTGATTCTTACTATACAATCATCTTATTATTTTGACACTATTTTTAATCACAATTTTATTCTTTTTTTATTCAGGCAATGTATTGTTTGCCGACAGTCGCGATGCTGCTACTGCCTTACATGGTCTATCAGATGCTTTGCTTTTATACAAGAGTCAAGATAATTTAGAAGGCATTCCAGATGATGTCGAGGTTATTGATGCTAATTCTATTGATTATCCTGTTCCTCCAAATCGATGGAAGCTAGGTAAACCTCACCCAAAAGCTAAATATCTTCTATTGCGTTTCGCAAATAATGGTGAGTTTATTTTTGCCTATAAGCTATACTTTAATATCACCTACTTTTTATACACCACAATATCTAATCCTTCATCGTTCTATTTCTGTTTATTCTCTTTTCTCAGCTGATAAAAAAATGCCAGGCGCTAGAAAGCATAGCAAATTTTATGAGAAGTACGGGGTTCCTGATCCAAAAGAAAGAAGTGAAAAAGTAAAAGAAGCTCCTAGGATAACAATAAGCAATGATAAATTGAGACGAAATATCTCTCGGACAATAGAGAATGATGAAATAGTTGAAGTTGCCATAAAATCGACCAATATAAGTCCTTCCTTAAATATGAGAATGAAAGCGGATCTAGAAAGAGGATTCAAAGATTTGTCTTCTAGACTTAAAGGCAACTTACGTCGTCGTATTGGTGGAGACAAGAGACCTAGAGGTTCAGTCTGGGATCGCATTCAAACTACTGATTCTCGTACTTTCAATAGGAACAGTCGAACAGTCAAAGTCAGTAACTCAGGGTTGAGAGTTTTTTCACGCCTTGGAAAGCCAGGACGTCGTGAAAGATGATTTCGCTTCCTTGTTCAATTGAATTCACAAGAATTTATTTGAAAAAACAACTAATACGGCCAACGCAAAAAATTGACAACTCATTACTCGATCATTCACTTTTTTAGCCCGCGAATCATTTTTGTCTTTTCATTGTCAAATCTTCTTGACTTTCACTCAATTCTGTAAATTATTTCGCATCAACTTGACTATAAAATAGCATTTTTGTACAATCAAAAAGACTTCAGTCAACAATTATAAAGCGTTTTGGTTGAACTTCTTATTCATTTTACCATCTTATTCATCTCTTGTCTGATGAAAGTTTTTTGGTCAACTGAGTTGTGACTAAATGAAGGATTTTTATAACCTTGAAAATCAAACTGAACAGTTTTTTCTCTTGAACAATCTGAATGTCATCTTAAAAAATGGCGTGTTAAAGTGATCAGTGAATATTTACATTTTATTGAAACAAAAAGATTAACAGGCGATTAACAAAAGATTAATTTTTAGGTGTTTATGAGATTCAATTGATTTTTGCTTTATGAATATCATCTTCCGGAGGCAAAAAACACCAATTATGGGAACATCATCACTATTATCTTTATTTATGCTACTAATTTGTCTCATTGATTCAGTTAGATCACCATTTTCATCTATTTTTGCTTGTTGATTGAAATGTTGTTTCATTAAATTGGAAAGGATTAAACTCAATTGACTCAATAATTACTCATGAATTGACTTTGGAGGGTAGACAAGGGCTAGATGAGATTTTTGAGGGCAGTCAAAAGGAGGTTTGACTTTTTCTTATATCTTCAGCTATTTTGGTTACAATTGCGGGTCCAGTTGGAGTTTTTATGTTAACCTTTTTTGATAAATGGACTGGATGAGCTTCCAACTACGTCTAATGATGGGCATTTTATGATCGATTCAAAAAATGACCTACAAGCACTTATACTGTTACTCTTGTCTATCTAGGTAATCCTCTAACTAATTGATAATCATTTTTCCATAATGATATTTTTCAAACCAATAGCCATTTATTTCTATATGGAATTCACAAATTCACAATTTATGCCCATAGCAATTCATTTTAAGTCATTTGTATTGTTATTCTTGATACATTGTATTTGTCAACAAAGCTTAATAATATATAATGTACATAATGTACACAGAAGTTTGATGCAAACTTTCCTCATGTTTTTACCTTATCCTTATTAGTTACATTGTCATTAGTTTAATCACTCATTTTCCATTACCTTATACAATGTAACCATATTTAACTTCGTTTATCCTTAATTGATTGAATTTCTTGATATAATACCACACTCATAAAAAACATCTCATCACTTCATATTATAATATTTCCTCTTTCTAATAATTTAATTTTTCCCAAATTGTTTTTCATTTTTCAATTCAATTTAAATCAGTATTTTTTCTTGTCTGTAAACGTTCGTGGAAACCGTATCTGGCAGCACACTTCGAGTGTATTTGCTCTGGTTCACTCTTCATAAGATCGAGTGGTCCCGTTTGGGATTGCGGTATCCTTATTCCTGTAACAAGGTGAAATGAAATGAAATAACCCTGACTAATATTGTATTATGTAATTCTTATTACAAAAGCTCCTTGGATTCTTATTTTACTTGGTCTTCCAAAAATTAATGATACCTTGAGGGTTAAAAAGTCACATATAAGGCCATTTCCAGGTTAATCACATCCACAGCTTTTTAAGAAAAATGATTTTATCCTGATCTAGTTTTATCAATGTTTAAATCACGTTCGAGCAAGGTCCAATTACGGAAACATTAAACAAATCATTGCCCTTGATTGTGTTAAACTTGAATTTGGAAATAAACTATAAAGTTCTGAAGGATCCCAATGAATCTGGTGCGTAAAGATTTCGCTTATGAATAAAAGTTGATGAAGATATGGTGATAAAATAGAGTGTAATGAAAATATCAATATCATATTTAATTGTCATTAAGAAGCCATTTTGATGAAAGTATTTCATCCAATTTGTCATTGTAAAGACTAATAGCAATTAACAAAACATATTAACAAATTGCTATGTAAACTGAGCTTATAATTTGATCAAATTGTGCATTTTCTTTATTCTCTCTGTGAAAGTTCATTTTTAACATTATTAATTACATTAAATGAATTATTATTTATGATTTGGTTTGTGGAATCCATACTTTTTAACGCCATCAGGGCAACAGTTGTTTACAAGCTTGAAAAAAAAGATGGAAAAAAACTGAAAACAAATGAAATGAACAAGATTGCCCAGAATATTTTTGGTCCTAGTAGGTTGAATAGAAAAAAGTGAGATGAAGATGCATAAAATATAATGGAGTCAAACTAGGCTCAATTTGATAAATAACAAAGGCACTGATTTCTTAATTTCTAATGAGTACCCTTAAATATGTTCAGTGACTTTTACACGATGGAAATGATTCTCTTGTATGAAAATGAAATCTAGCTGCATCATGAATGTAAAGTAAGATTTTGATATTTATGAAGATGATTTTTATGACGGCTATGATTATGATGGAATTGGCCCGAAAGGAACATCTAACAGTCAAAATACAACTTACAAGGTGTAATTTGCAACAGGAATATCTCTGATATGAGAGTAAAGACGAATCACATTATTCATGTCGACGACCTTTTCTTGATGATCTTCTTTCAGATCTTTCTCTTCGCCTGATTGGTGAAAAATATCAAAAAGAAAAGAGACAGAAAATTGATTAATATGGCCATCTAATAATACTAAAACATACCTCTTTTTGTTTTTATTGATCGGGGATCGGACTGAAGAATCAGGCGAATTTTCTCTAGAATCAGCGTCACTACCAAATATTTCGAATAACTGTTTCTTTTTTCTTTCACGGCTACCTAAAATTTCAAGAGACAAGATAAAAAAATGAGTAAAATGGTAACGATTCGAAAAAGAAATATAAAAATCCAGAATTTGAGTTGTCTAAGTCTATTTTGGTCAATTGTACTCATGCAGGTTTATGCACATAATAACAAGAACTGAACATGCAGTGCTAAGTTTTAGTTATTACTTGAAGGTGGCCTAATCTCCTCATCTAACGCAGAATCATTTAAATGACTTGTACCGTTAGAGAGAGGAGTCTCAGTTGGACTTGGTGTATCATTTCCAGGGTATACGAAGTCGGGATCATCTTCATAACGACGACTTCTCTCACAACGACCATGATTAGATCCATCTTTATCGGTGATTTCACCTTTTGACATGAGAGAAAAGAACATGCCATAAGATAAAACATGCATATGCTGATCATCGAACCGATTTGAAACTAAAATAGAACATCGAAATTCACTTTACCTTCTTCTTCTTCCTCTTCATCTTCATCATCATCTTCATCTTCATTATCACTATCATCATCGTCATCCACTTCTTCATCTTCTTCTGTATCTTGATCAGTTTCATCATCTTCTTCTTCATCTTCTTGATCATCGCCCTCTGCCTCATTCTCTTCATTTGTAGGAGTTTCCTCTGGTGGATCATCATAACCTTTCATATTTTCTTCATCACTATCGTCGAGGGTAATAATATCTATCTTATTAACATCGATCAAAGTTGGTGTAGATTCTTTTTCTTTATTTTCTATCACAGGATGCCATGTACCATGTCGATCGAATGAGACTTTTAAACAATCGCTTGGAGTTTTACTCAAAATTTCAGTAATTAGACTGGGATTAGAAAAAAAGAAAAAGGTTGTAAGTTAGTCAGAAAAAAGAAATTGTTGACAAATTATAATTACTCACCAATCTAATCGAATGTCATTGTACCCTATAGCTTTTTTACAAGACGGACAATGCCATTCCAATCGCTTTTGGTTAATATCTAGGAATGATTTTGCATCAAAACACAAAAGATGCTCACATTTGAGACCGATTGCCGGAATTTCTAATCGTTTTTTTGTAATCTTGATGATAATGGAAAGGCAAGTAAAAAACAAAATAAACAAAGATTTTTTAGTCGATAGAGTAATCTTAATGATTTGATATTTTGTAAAAATGTAAAAAACTTACTGGACAACACAGAGGAACCATGATTTCTTCTGAGCAGATATCACCACTGGTAGCGAAATTTTTGGAAACTGCAAATAAAAAACAGAGTTTTGGAATTCAATAAATTGAAAAAATAAAAAAAATAAAATAGAAAATCTTAGAACTTACTCATTTTTAATGCATCTGAACTAGGCCTTTGATAATCTGTCTCTTGAAGTTTCTTTAATGAGTTTTCAAGAGATAATCTTTGGTTTATAGACACACAAAGTCCATATTCACGACCAGGTTCATTTTCAGGCCAACATAATTCAATTTCATTCCTAGTGTCAATAAACGTTGTTATGTCTAAAGGTGCCTTAATAGAACCGGAGGTTTGTTTCTGATGAAGAAAAATTAGGATAAATAAAAAACTGAAGATCTAAAAGAACAGATATGTGAAATTACCCCTAAAGAGAAAGGCCTAGAATTAATCCTTATGGCTAATTTACGTGATACTCGGTCACTTTGAGCGGTATTCTTGTTTTTAAAATAACAAATTCTTAATAAGACTCTATGTTGAGGACTACGTTGCAATAGCTCCATTTGCTTTGGTGTTATCGAAAAAGATGCTTTAACCTTAGTTTGATTTGCAGCTAAAAGAAAAAAATATTTAAAGTTAAAATCAATAAAAAATATATAGATATCAAAAATATTGTTGGGTCAATTACTTACGGTAAATTTCTGGCTTCAAAAGGTCATCACCGAAAACCTCGAAAATTATGGGCAGTTGTTTGAATTCAATTAGATTGTTCAACTGTTTTCCCCTTGATACAACATTTTTGTTCATGTTTCTAGGGAATGCAAGCAAAGATCCAGAGTTGTTGCTAGAGAATGTGTTCTGTAAGGATCCGTTGACTGAACTATTCGACTGATTTGTGACAGGTACAGGTATTGAAGGTGCAGGTTGGACTAATAAAGAATTAGAATTGTTACTAATTGAAGAGCCAGAAGTTATAGTATGAGATGATCTTGAATTATTTGTAGATAGAAGAGTAAATGATAAATCACTAGGGGTTGGAATATTTGAAACAGTATGGCTTGGCACTGAATTTGTTATTAAATTGCTAACAGGTGTAGAAGACAAAGAAGTCATTGACGGAACCGTGGTCGTAGTGAAAGTAGATGTACACGATCTATCCAGGGATGGAGGAGTTGATGGAGGACCTGATAAAAAAAAGATTAAAATTTACTTAGTTGAAAGAAGAAAATATTTACACATATGATTCAAGGCAAAAATTTACCGCAATTTAAATTTTCAATGGATGAAGATGAAGATGAGACTGCAAGATAGAATAAATGACACGATTAGAAGTGACATTTTCATTGAAAATTGGTTGATTTGACATGAATCATAGTGAGATTTACCTGAAATTGTTTCAGGGCGACTCTTGACCCTGGGATCTCTAAGTCGAGTATCTAATTTTTCGATATCTGACTTGGTTTTTTCAACAATCTTTTGCAATCTTTGTTCTTCTACCTCAAGTTTCATTTTCTCTGCTGTAACTCGAGTAAGCTCTTTTTGGGTTATAGCTAGGTTCTGTTTCAGCTTTGCTAGCTGACTTTCATCTGCGGCTCGATTATTCCTTGAACTTGTACTTGAAAAGCCACGATTTTGGCTACTAGTAGATTGAGATGACTGCTGTCCTTGTGATACTGGAGTTTGCTGGGTCTGTTGTGGTTGGGTGGCTTGTGGCGGGGGCATTGGTCGATGTTGTTGTGGCATAACTTGAGGTTGCCAATTTTGCCTAAAACTCCTATAAAAAGATCCATTACCTGATGCAGGATAAGAACTAGAGAAATGATTATAACCACTATTGGGATTGGGAATCATGTTATTGTTCATCATATTTGGATTCATATAACTCGGAGGCCCATTATAGTAATCATTCCGCGGATTATCAAACATACTAGGTGGATGATGGGATCGATGTGAGTTGTTTTGCATGTATCGTAGATTAGTGTCATAATTGTAATACTTATTTGGATTATTGTTGTTCATATCGTGCATGTACACTCTCCGCCATAAACAAAATTTAATTAATGTATAAGAAAATTCAACAAAAAGAAGACATAAATTCTAATTAAACAAGATAAAATAAATTCACATTTTGTTGACAATTTTGTTGAACAAATTGGTCAGAAAGGGACAGTTTAGAATCGAGAGGGAGCCACAAAGTATTTATGTCTATGTCTCCATCTAGCGAGTAGAAAGGAGTAAACATAATTGTGTTCAATTACAAAATATTAATTCAGAAAAAAATTGTCCTTTATTGCTTAAAATTAAAACACTATCTTTAATAAATTCATTACAATCTTTCTTATTTCATTTCGATCGATCGAAATGATAGAAATGATTAGCCTGTAAAACTTTAACAAAATAAAGCTAATAAGAAAGCAAATAGATAAAGCAAATAAGATAAAGCTCATTTACAATTGAATAATCTCAATTTAGGATTATTTGAATATTTTCAGAGCTTATCAATAGTTGCTGATTATTTGATTTATAAACTAGACTAGAATAGAAGTAAAGACAGGATAATTTTGTGTGTTCAACACAGAGATTCTTTCTGAGAAAATAAAATGAAAAAATTTCCTAAAAAATCCTTTCTTGGGTAAAATATTGAAAAAAAATGTTGATATTTAATAAATTATCCTGTTATTTGTCCGTTTTTGCCAACTTATTGAAAAAATATAATTATCCATCCATTAGACACAATTGAAATGCCTTGTTTAAATTCAGTTGATGATCAATCTCGACTAAAAACAGACTTTGCTACCTTAGATTTGAACGCCGACTGATTTTTAAATTTTTTTATTATCGCTGTCATTATAAATGACCACCATTTGAACGTTAATGGCTATTCAAATGACAGCACCAGTCAAGTTAACTATGACAGCAACATTGAACTGCTAATACAAAATGATTCAAAATCATTTCTTGATCTTGTAATTAAATTTCCTACCTTCAATGTTTCCCCTTTTAATCAACAATCTGTCAATATTAAATGCTGCGATATTTTTATGACTAACATTGAAGGCTTTTTGTAATATAAAAGCAAGTCTATGTAAACTTTGACTCAAAATGCACTTTCGATGTAACGAGACGAAACTGATCGCGTTGAGCACTTATTTATGGGATAATAATTAACCATAAATGCTAATTCATTGTAAATTACTTTGTTTACTCCAAGTTAACATTTCACTCTTCAATTTAATTGTGATATTTTTATCAAATATTTTGGCAAGTTAACTCACATTGGCGAGATGGAAAAGAGATGTTTCCATCTTTTCTTGGTTTACTTTTTGTTAGTATCAGCTTGTAATCCTTACAGTTGAAGGTAAAGATGGCTGAAAATGTAAATCACCGGAACAGTCAACATTAACATCAATTGATTAGTTGATTATTGCAATTTTTTGGCTACAATATTAAGGTTAATTTTCAATCAAATAATGTCTAATTTTATATCATGAGACTTAACAAGTTGACAAAATGTTACTTGATTGACACATTTTTCATTCATTAATTGCATCGATTGAGATGTAAAAACAAATAAACCCAAAAATCAACATGCAATCGGTACAAAAGGTAATCAATTGAAGGAGGTTGAACAATGAGGTTCATTGAAAGGAGGCGAAATTGTTAATGATTGTTATTTCAAAAATTTGTCACCATTCTGTTGACTTTTAATTAATTAATCACTTTCATCACTTATTAACTTGGTTATGAATTTCAAGTCTGCAAAGGCGAGTTTTTAATAATTTTTTTCTGGTGACTTGGTTAACATTTTTGTCAACCTAATTGACCCAAATTTTTTCAATATTATCACTTCACCCCTTTAGTTACTGGTAATACACATGCATATGTATAAATACATATCGAGGTGAAAGTTAATCTAGTTCAAACTGTGAATGTTTGGGTTGGTAATGATGATTTGATGCCAACCCTGAGGATAAAAGATGAGCTGTTCAACAGTTGGTTCAAGATAAATTTAGACTCGAATTGAGTCCAATATAAAGATTTGTGTTCCTTTGAAAGTTGAATTTTTTTGGAGATGTGCATGGCAACTAATGATTAAAATCAGTAGGAACAAGTGTAGTTAGTATTGCCTTGAAATTTTTACAGTTTCTCCAAGAAATAGTCATTTTGTTAAGTTAGTATTAACTCAATCTTTGATTCGAACCATTTCCCATCAACTTACGAGGTAAAAAGCTTTACAAATTGTATTTCAATACCAAGCATCCAAGTGATACCAAAGTTTGTCTAGTGTTGTTTTGACAACTCGTCCAGAATCAAGTAAATTTAATTTAATTAAAACAGGTAAACCAATAGTGTCCAGATTTATCTATCAGCTACAGCGAAACAGTCAACAAATTTGGTTTCATCACTGTGATTATTGGTGTTGACTTTTGAATTAAATTATTTAGTCTTTAAGTTTACATTGTTTTCTTTCTGTTGTTTGATATCAATTTTCACTTTTTGAAGGATTTAATAGCGATCCAATTGTATTTCCAATGTCAACCTGGCAACCGCCTTCATCTTTTCATCATCAACCAACATCATATCCATCTTATCAATCACCGTCCAATCAACAAAATCAATACAGGCCAGTAGTTGGAGTGATTCCACACTTTGATACTCATCCTGGAGGTCCAACTGCAAGTGAACAAGAAAGGGCTCTGTATGAACAGGAGAAACAACGCGAACGATTGGCTGTAGTTAACCAGGTATTTACACTATTTGTACAAATCAACCAATAAAACAACGAATAACGAAAATAGTAAAGTAAAAACAAAATTAAATATTATTAGTTGTCGATCAATCTCTAAACAAATAGCCATTTTCATCAATTAGAAACATTGACCGTACCTGTTTGATTATTGAACGTTAGATGGCTCTAGTTATTTTCTTAAAATTTTCCGTTATTTTTGTTTCATTGTTAAATATTTTTCAATTGTGCTTCTTTATTATTAATAAGTTATCTGATGATTATCTTACAACTACTTGATAGTTAAGGTGTAGTTAAGTATGTAAACCTTGATCCTTGAATGTCCTCTTGACATACTCTTCAAAGTAAGATGATATCAAAATAACAACGACAGCAAGCTTGACGATAGTTGTTCACATATTCAACCTTTATTTTGGCAAATTGACAAAAATTTTGCTAGATTGCTAGATCAAAGCTACGAACTTATTTTTCTACGAAAAATAGGGGAATCTAAGCTTGAATTGGTGAATAAAATTAACCATCAAACAGAGATCAACATGTGTTGAAATCTAGAAAAAAATGGTTTAGACACGTTTTACCTCAGCTTATTTCCAATGCTTGAAAATTTACATTAATCAATTTATCTTCTTTTCTTTCATTTGTATTCACCACTTTAGCCTCACCGGACTTTCCCTGTGGTCACACCAAAGCCCAAGCCAACTCATGATTATCCAACAGGATCCTACCTTCGCTATGTCAGAGACCCAACCTGGCAACAGCCCCCTCGGGTTTCATCTCCGGTTCCTAGACCTGATAGATTGAAAGAAGTTATGAACAGGGTAAGTGTTTAAAGGTGGTTAATCAATCAATTTAACCAGACAAAAGGAGAGGTAATAGAAAGTACCAAATATTGTAAACTACAAAAGCTGTGAATTGATAGCAAGTGTTTGTAATGGAGAGACTCGGAATTGGGATTTTGATTAACAGACAAATTGGTGACGGAATAAAGTCGAGTAAAATGGAGCTGATTATGATATGAGACCGACAAATCCATCGGCAAGCAAAGTACAAGATAATTCATTAACTACCAGATGAAATATGCCGAAGAAACTCAGTTTTGCCGGCTAAATCACATTCCAATTTCTAGCTTGACCTGACTTTGACTGTAAAAACTCTCTGGTTTTGGATGATTTAGCTCAAACTTATTGGGTGAAATTTATGAGTCGAGACATTCGGTGAATAGGTTTATAATAAGTTCAAGGCTGTTATGAACTTGTATTTCAAACTCACAGAGGAAGGGAGTTGTTGTTGTATTTAAATTGTTGTCCTTATTATTTTTGGCAACAGTCTATTTATGATTAACTAAAGGAGGTAACCCAACCAGTAAGGTTGTACCTATAAGTATAATATAATATAATGATAATACAATTTTAAAACAAGATACAAGCGTTAAGTTAACAGCATTCTGTTTATGATTTACAATTGAACAAAAATTTACTCTCCTCACAGTTTAAAATTATTTATGTTGCATTATTTGTAGCTTTTATAATCATTGAAAAATCCCTATTTCATTGATTCTAATATGAATATGATTAATCCATAAAATATGGTTAACCATAATCAATCATTAATCAAAAATATGTGACTAAATATATTTAGCCTTGATTGTGTTCATTCAATGAAAACAACGGTTAATATTTAATATTTACATTTTAAGAAAAAGTTGTATTGTTGTTATTTAATCTTGATTGTTTCTCACTTAAAAGCATCAAATGATTAACAATCAAGGTTAACAAAGTGACTTACAAATTAAATTGTGATATCATTGTTATTAATTGAATGTAAGATTCAGGTTAATTCAAGTATTTTCAATGGTTAACCAGAAAGGCTTGGCTTTTACTGGTCCATCAAACCCAGAACCTTGAATTTTTTACACAAAAAAAATACAATCAAAACCGGAAAAAATATTATTTTAGTCTGTTAAATTGTCATCTATTTGTTAGTAAATTATTTTAAATTAGTCCAAATTCAATTGATTGTTAAAGGAAATCTTTCAACGTTCAAAGCCTAGTTTTGATCTTATTAGTTAATTCAGTCGTCAGGTACTTGAAATGTGACAAAGTAAAAGCTAAATTTTGATTGTAAGTTTCAATCGAGGACAAACTGTTATTATTGTTATTTACAATTATAATTTTGAAGAGTCTTTCCTTTTAAATTGCATTCCCGAAGTAATTTGTTTTTAATGATAATTGCCATTCAAATCTTAATTGGAGTAAATTGTTGAGTTAACTAGAACAATAATGTTTGAAATCAATTCACAGTCAAGAGTGAAAAGCAAAAAGACAAAAAAATATCTCAATGTTTATAATGATGAAGGAAACTTGAATTTGTTCAATATTTCTCCATTTTAACGATAAATCATGATTAATGAATTATAAAATTTCAATGGATAACTTTGCCATAACTAATATGATTATTGTCTATCTTTTAATTGCAGTTTGCTGGTGACATTGATGCAGAAAAGGTTGTCCATCTTCAATATAATTCACCATTAAATGTTTACAGCAGGGAATCGATTGCTGAAACTTTGGCTCCGTAAGTTAATCATCAAAATTTATATCAACTGTCCTTTGTCTTAATTAAATTGCTTTATGTCTGTTGTCAAACAATTTAAATACTCAACTCCAGCGAGATGTTACAAGGGATTTGAGCTTACAAAAGGCTCAATCCATGGACTGAACCAAAGTCAAGGGTTAAGTTTATTATCAGATTTACCATTAAAACAATTATTGATTTTACAAATTATTTTAATGATTAATAGTCGATAATAAAGCAAGTGTTGAATCAAGGGTAAATTAAGGTAAAACTTGGAGTTACTTCTGGTTTAACCAGATTTTTGTTTACCTTTTTTTTGTACATTGACCGTTTGCTTGTTGTTTTGTTGTCCTGTAAAATTTTATGGTTCAATGTTGAGTGTAAATTTTATTAATCGAAATGACATTTTAGAAGCAATTTAAATCCCTTTTTTCCCAATTTTTTTCTTGAATTTCAATTTCTGATTAAACAGTATATTTGTTGACTTTTCCTTCCTAAAGTCAAAACCTAAACAAGCCAGTTCACAGCAACAGCAACAATCTTCATGCTGCTCCACCAACTCATCACCATCACCTGGATCCGATGGTAACCCGACTCTCAGTTTCCCCGATTCCCAGCGTAGGATCAGGCCATTCACTTCGTCCGTCAACACCAATAACCGATATCCGTAAATCACCAACCTGGCAATTAATTCAAGAACAAGAATCAGGCAAAACATATGGACCGGCCAAGGAAAGAGTAAACTCACCGGTTGGAGCTACACTTCATGTATCAAGTATTGACGGACATGAATCTCCAGCTCAATCAACAAGCTTTAAACATTTAATGACCGCTTTAGTTGATCATCCAGCTTATTAATTTATGTTAATGCACTGATTTAATCTTGTTAATTGTAAATGCAACAACAAAGCAATATGTTATCGCTATGTCTTCACTGTTGTTACATTGTTTTTGCTGATCCTCGTTTATCTTGCTGGTTGATTATCCACTTGATTATCCTCTTCTCTTCTCTCCTTTAATCGTACAATTTAATGTCCTTTCAACAATTTATCTTGTTGTGCTTTCAAAAATAAGTCAACAGTCTGCTGATGATGTTGATGAACAAATGTAAAATTGAACAAATGTGATTGAACAAAACCGTTTACAATAAAGCTTAATGTTTCAACGATTCTTTCAACTAAAACCTTTGATTAACCCTTGAACACATTAACCTAAAAATATGATCAACTGATGAGTCAATTATCAAGTGTATCATAATAGCAAACCCAATAGACTCAAAAGTCAATTTTAATCTCGAGATTAGCTAAATTCATTTGAAAGGCACAATTTTCAAATTCCAAAGTCTATCAACATTTATGAACTGCAAATGATTTGTTATTTTTACATTTAAACATCTCATTCAACCTCAACAATAACTTACCCTGACCCTGTAGGTTGGCAAAAATACAAATGAAAAAGCTATTTTTAAACCCACAAGTTGACCTTTTACATTTAAACAACTAGTCTTTGTGTTAATTTCAGCTATTATTTCATTATCTTTGCAATAATTAACTAATCAATACTTCTAATGTTGAGATTAGATTGAATTATTACAAGAGATGGTTCATAATACGATTAGTATCTCATTCAAGTTGCAACCTTATTGAATTATGATTTATTTATGGCTTTTCAATGAAAGATTGTATAAACAGAGACTCATTAAGTTGTAATTAATTATTAATGTTGATGGTTTCAAGATGACACTCAATGGAATCATTCATTATTGGATTTACAGGAACAAAACATGAATTTTTTTTCAACATTTTCAAACAAACTTCTCTGTTATCGAGGAAATATGTTATCATTGAGTAATTCAGTTTCACATGATCAGTCTATGACGATTTATGAATATAAATAACATTTCAACTCTTTCACTTTTCTCATCAATAAACTTGCTTTCATTACAACTTTCAAGTTAATTGTTAACAATCTCAGCTTTATGCTTCCATATTTAGTCATGCTGGTTTGTTATCATAATTAGTGTAAAGATGATGGAAATCAAGTCTTAATTTAGATGTTAAGGAGTGAAATGGCTGTAAAGAGCTCAACTTTGCTGACCAACAATGATGAGTAAAACAAGATTACAATTTAAAGCTATTCATGAGAGAAGCTAAAAACTGCTCTTTGGCAAATGGTCAAAAATAGAGACTTTAATGGTCGAAATGGTTAGTTTGTTGGAAATCAAATTTCGATCTTGACCTCTTTTTGAGTGATCGAATTTCATTCACGAAATTCATTCATTACTGGGTTAAACATGAACTTATCTTTGGTTATTCAGTCAATTGTCATTCAAGATAGAGTTAATAAACTGATGAGAAACGATCCTGTTTTTGGGTTAAGCTTGAACCATTTGCAGTCAATATAACAAATGTATCCAGTTTTATGTAATTCAATACGGTTTTATGGTTGTATCTTTGATTGAGTTTGAAATTGTCTTGCAATTGTTAAACAAATTATCAGTAAATTATTCAAAAAATAAGGTTAATCAACTGAGTCTCAAAGGAAATTGTTTAATTGTTGAAAGCTGATTGCTAATAGCAAGCTGAATTAATGAGCATTTTTATTTGGTGTGTAACTGTGAACGCTTACAGGGTGATCGGAAAGTTTCTGGTGTGAGGGGCTTTTTCCCCTTCTACGCGCAAAGACACTTATTGGTTTGCTGTTTTATTCACCGATACTCTTCTACGCAGAAAAGGCTCCACCCCACACACCAGAAACTTTCCGATCACCGTGTATGTAAACAGTTTGTGTAGTTTATGGATTGATTTTGATTAAGTAATTACCATTATAATTAATTTTTGTATAGCTTTTCATATCATTGTTATGCCTGCTAATTAATTAGCTAACAATTTGTTAATTGAATTTTTTCTGGTACCCTTGAGAGGCTGTGAATTGTTAATCTGAGGGAGTGTTACCTTTCTGGTTAACTTAGGTACTGTGTAGGATTGAACCAGAAAAAGAAGAGTAAACAGTTTAACTTGCAAGGAGTTAATCATACTTTTCAATTTTACCTGATCTTAATGTTTCACAATCAATTTTCTTGTTAAATTAAT